AAATGGCTACGGTCCTGGGAACATGATTTGTTGGGGTGTCGTTGGGCGCCTCTGGAGGCTTCGGGGCCTGACGCGTTTCCGAGCGTGGCGGCATGTGGCGCTGCTTGGGACTCTCGTTGTTTTATCCTGGCAGGCGTTTATAAACATGGTTTGGGGAGAGGGCGGCAACCCGAGAATCATGTTCCCAGGAAGCTTTCCGGGAGCATGATTTGTTCGGCTCTCTTAAGAGAGGTGGGCTGTGGGGGCTTACCGAGGGGCCCTTTTTGGCCTTCTCGGCAAGCCTATTGGAAACATGGTTGGGGCGGTGGGCGGAAGCCCAAGGAATCATGTTCCCGGAAAGCTCTGGGAAATACGATTTACTGAGGTCTCTTGGGGGCACGCAGGGGGCTTCCCTGGGGGGCCCTTGGAAGCGTATTGGGGCTTCCGGGGGGCCTCTTGGGAGACCCACGGGGCTTCTTGGGAGCCTCTTGATGGCATCCGGGGGCGTCCTAGGAGCTTCTCAGGCCGGAGACCTTATGTCGCGCTCTTCGGGCCCTCTTGGGTCGCTCTTGGGGCTCTCTTGGGGCGTTTTTGAGGCCCTCTTGAATTATCTGGGGAGCCTCCTGGGCCGTCTCTGGTCATTCCTTGGGAGCCTCTTCGGCCGTCTTGGAGCGATCTGAAGGGCCTCTGACGCCGTCCGGGACCGTGGGGAGGCGGAACATGCGAGAGCGCAAAAATGCGGGACCCTTTGGATGGGGCCACTGGAGGCGCTCTTGGGGCGTTTTGGCGGCGTCGTCGGCCGTCCTGAGGCCATCTTCGGCGTGTCTGGGGCCTCTTGGGGCTGTCTTGGCAACCTTTAGGGCCCTCTTGGCGTGTCGTGGCGTGTTTGGGAGCGGGCCCGGGCAGTCCTGGGAGCCCTGGGGGCTGTTGAATGCTAGGTGTTGTCTTGGAGGCGGAGGCTGTTGAATGCAGGGTGGCGCGTGCTACGCGGAAGGCGGACGAGCGGCCGGGCGGGCGGCGGGCGGGCGGGTCGGGATTTGAATGAATACCTTAAGGGTGCTCTCTTGCAGCGGGAGCTTGTTGAGTACAGGGCGTTGCCTTGAAGACGGGGGCTGTTGACTACAGGGTGTTGTCTTGGAGACTGAAGCTGTTGAGTACAGAGTGGTGCGTGCTACGCGGACAGCGTGCGGGCGGCGGGTGCCCTAGGTGGTGGGTCAGAGGCCTCATGGGTGTTGGTTTTGATTTCGTGGTTGGCATGTCGGGGACGTCGTGAAGGCAGCTTCGCAGCTTCTCGGTCGCCATTTTGAGACCGTTGTGGGACCTCCTCGGGGCTATTTTGTGGCCTCTTGAGGCCTTGTTTGGATCTCCTGGGTGCCTCTCGGGGGCCTCCTGGGGCCTCTGGGGGCTCCTTGGGGCCTCCTGGGGCACTCTTCAAGCGGGAGGGTCGAATTTTGGAGTCGTGGTCCCCCTCTTGGGCGCACCTTGGGGCCGTCTTGGTGCGCTCTTGGGCGCCTCTGGGGCCGTCTGGGGGCCCTCTTGGGCAGTCTTGGGGCGCTCTTGGGGGCCAATGGAGCCGGTCTGGAACATCGGACAGCCGAAAAGGCTGGAAGGCGAAAATCGATCCAAAACCTTCGTATAGTTGATGATTTTGGCCTGTTGAAGCGCTCGGGAGAGGCGTCTTGGAGCGTCGTGTGCCTTGGGGGGGGTTCTCGGGCCGTCTTGGGCCTATCTTGGGCGTCCTGGAGCGGTCTTTCGGCGACTCGGGGCCCGCTTGGGCCGTCTGGGGCGCCTCTGGAGGCCCTCCTGGACTATTTTGGACCTCCCCGGCCACCCCGTCCTCCCATGGTGGGTCGGGGCAGCTGTTTGTGGGCCCCGGGCCTGCCCCCCAGGGATACATATATACATATATATATATATATATATATATATATGATCCCCGGCTCCGGGCCCACGAGCCCCCCCCCTCCCTCCCAGATGGTATGGTCCCAAGATTCCGCGGGCCCCCCCCCCGTTCAGATGGTATGGTCCCAGAGACGACGACGACGACGACGACGACGACGACGACGACGACGACGACGACGACGGCGACGACCACGACGACGGCGACGACGACGACGACGACGACGACCACGACGACGACGACGGCTGCGGCGGCGACGACGCCGGAGGCGGCGGCGGCGACGAGAAAGATGACGACGATGACGACGGCGGCGACGACGATGACGACGACGACGACGACAACGAGGACGAGGAGGACGACGAGGACGACGAGGACGAGGACGAGGACGAGGACGACGACGATCTCTGGACCACCACAGCACCACACCACATCCACAAGGGGGGGGAGGGGGGCACCGCAGCGCAGCACCACGCCACGCCCACCTCTGAACCACCACAGCACCACACCACATCCACAGGGGGGGGAGGGGGGCACCGCAGCGCAGCACCACGCCACGCCCACAGGGGGGGCGGGGGGGACCATCGCGCGGGGGGGGGGCCCAATGGCATCAGCACTGGGGGGAGAAGGGGGGGGCCCAAGCCCTGGACCATATTATATATATATGTAAGTATCGATAACTACATATATATATATATATATATATAATTATATATATATATATATATATATATATATATATATATATATATATATCACTCGTGCTTCCGCGCAGCACGGCGTCCAAAGACTTACTGTACAGCCTTGTGAGTTGAAAGGAAGAGCGCCCTCGCAGCGCGGGCGCTGTCCTTGGCCGCTTCAGGTAGCGACCACCTTGTAATAGGAAGTTTCGCTTGAATGTTGTAAGTGCGAAAAGCAATGACTGCGCGCTCGAGAGCCAAGCGCTGAGGAAACTCATCTGATTCTCCGCTGCAGAGGCCCAGACGAGCGAGAACTGACTGTGGTGCGACCGTGCTCGAGTGCCAAGCCGCGCACGCCGCAAGCCACAGGTGTTGGCAATAAACAGACTGAGACATTGAATCCAGAGCGTTAAGGACCTCGGATTGGTGGCAGCCAAAAACAAACGGGCTGCACACGTCACTCGTGTGTAGGCGGCGGCTCGTAGTCCAACCCCCCACCCAGGTCTTCACGAGGGCCGAGTGAGCAGCGGGCGGAAAGCCCGAGGTGAGCAGCTCTTTGAGCGGCTCCCATTCGATCTGTGAGAGCGTAAGCGATTCATCTGTATTCGCCCAGGAGTTGAGACGAGAGAGGATGGTGACAGGGTGGCGGTCAGGGAGGAGCGAAGAGACAAGGTGGGAGTGAACAAACTTCTGCATGCGCAAACGGGCACTAGGGCGTTCAACGGGGAGGCGGTCTTTTTCCTCTTTCCACTCACTCAGAGCTGCGCCGCACGCCGCGGCCAAAGCACGACTGTTCTCTTTGGGGAACCCCTGCGCCGCCCCCTCAAGCGCGCGGGCGATCGGCTTCGACTTCCAACGGGGTGGGGCGTGCATGTCGAACGTGCGGGCGCGAAACGAGAGGCCCACCTCCGCCGCGTCGCGCAGACGCCGTGCCCAAAATGGCCAGTTCAGCACCGAATCAGCGGCGCTGCGCATCAATGCCGCGCGGTTGTTCAGCTCGAGGGAGACCGCCTTCAGCGATGTCCAACGTCCCAGCGCCAGTAGATCATCTCGAAGTAGCGCTTGGGGGGGGGGGGGGGGGTGCCATGCACGGTGTAGCGCCCAACTTTCTTCTTCATCTTCTGCGGCCACGCGAAGAACTGGCTGAGGTGCGAGGTCTTGCTCACCGCGCGCTGGTTGTATAGCATCAGCGAGGTACTGGTCGAGGCTCCGACGTCGGCAATCAGGTTGGTGGACTGCTGCCAGCCCAGGATTACCTTCTTCCACCTGTGCCAGTCATCAACACTGGGGCCCAAAAGCACACCAAGGTACTCAACCATGTCCGTGATCGTCATGCCCCTCCAGCGAGGTACGAGCTCATTGATCTTGGTGCGCGCCCTGTCCTCCGCAGCAGGGGTGAAGGCTTCCGCCAGAGGGATGATCTTGCATTTCGCCGTCTTCAGCACGAGGCGCGCCAGTCTCCGCCGCATAGAACACACTGCTCAAAGGGCGAAGCATCTTCAGCGACGGGAGCACGCAGCCCACGTCGTCGGCACAGACGCCGATGACCGCCCCCTTGAAGTTCGCTGTCCTCGAGTGCATGTCCCTGATCGGCGGGTCCACGCCGACAGCCCACAGAGTGCCCGACCAATGGCGCCCCTGGAGGATGCCCGAGGCGAGAGCGCAGAAGACCTCGTTGGCGCCCCCGAGGTTGGTGAAGGCGACTGGCAGGAGGCAGATCGCATCAATCACGTTGCGGATGCCCTCTGGAAAGCCAGCGCTCTCCAGCGCCATCTCGAGCCAGGTCCTGCACATCGAGACGGGGACGCGCCGCCGAAGTCGTAGAGCACCATCAGCGGGTCCTTGCCCGTTGGGTCGTCCTGCATGGCCACAATGCGGGAGTGTGCATCCATCGCCACCACGCGTTCTATGAAGCGCCGCTTCGGGAGGGAGCCTTTCTGCGCACCATGGGCCCCTTTCGCGTCAATCGGCTTCATCTGCTCGTTGCCCATAGCAGCCACAATCTTGCAGTCCGTGTTCTTCAGGGAGAGGGGTCTCGTAGACCTGGCCAGTCTGGTAGCAGTGAGCCCATCATCAGGTTCTGATCCTTTCGGGGTGAATCTCATCATCGAGTCGTTGAAGTCCAGCGGAACAGGGTAACCTTTAATTACCTCGAGCGCCACCTCGAGCAGGAGCTGCGCCGAGGAGGGAACGCGCTTCCATGCCGTGTGCTGGATACCGTCTTGACCTGGCGCCGAGTTGATGAGCTTGCGTATGAAGTTTTGCATATTGCCCAGCGCCGGTATGTCCATCTGAGAGCAGTCGTAGGGGGCGGTGTGCTTGTCCAAGTAGCGCCGCACGTGCTGGGCGTGACTCGGCTTCGCCTGGAAAACTGGTGATCATTGGCGTCGGAACTCGGCAATCATGTGTTCGGGCTTCTAGGTGGTGCTGTGGTCGTGTAGGACCTCGATGGCTCTGAGCTTCAGAACTTTGCCAGTGGGGGCCCAGAGCTTGCCGCGCTTCTCGGTCGCTCTCGGCATCTTGCGGAGGCGTTGCCGCTTGAGGTAGGGGGTGTCCCTCGCTTGCTCCTCCTGCTGCATGGCCTCCGCCCGCGGGTCCAGGTACTCCTTCTGATGTTGCTCGAACGTGCGACGGCAAGTCTCAGGCTCGATCAGCGCGATGTGGTTGCTATCAGAGATGTCCAGGAACTTTGCGCCCAGCTCCGTGCTAGCGCGCAGTGCGCGAGCGCTCTTCCAGTCATTCCTCCAGACTGCCCTTGATATCGCCCTGCATGCCGTCAGGGCAGCCGCCGAGCATGGCGCGCGCGCGTCTGCCAGGTCATTGCGCGCCAGCCTGGCCGCCTCGCGGATGAGGCGCTTGAACTCCTTAAGGCGGATGAAGGGCGGGTAGTTGTCCACGTCAGCAGCACCATTCATCAGGTCGAAGTATTCGGCGAAGAGGGGGCTCTCGAATATGCACTACGGAACGGGCTGCCTCTCACAGTCCTCAGGAGCGCCTGCGGCGAGCCGTAGGTGAACTGGGGCGTGGTCAGAGATGCCAATGCGGAAGAGGGCGCCAGGCGCCATGGGGATGTCAACCTTCGCGCACCACTGGGACAGCAACCACGGCGGGGAGCTGATGTAAATCTTGTCAACCCGCGTGCACTGCTGCGAGTGCTCGGCGTAGTGCGTCGGTAACTTAGGCTCCACCTCGACCATGTCACCCAGAGTTTACTCCCATAGCAGCTGGTGTTCAGGGTGATGATTACGCCGTCGAGGGGGGCCCTTGCTGACCAGCGGCGCCGTCATCTCGAGCGGTGCCTCATCCATGAAGTTGAAGTCACCCATGACCAGCACGGTGACCCGCTCGGGCTGTTGCTCGGCAGTGCTGAGCTCGGCGCGGATCGAGCCCCTCGTGCGCTGGGCCTGGTCCGCGGCGAGCTGGAAGTTGTGAATGTTGTAGATCGCGATCATGTTGCGGAGCGCGCCCTCGCCAACGCCAGTTACGTCCGACTTTTGCTGGAGCCGTTGGACGCGACCAGGGGCGGGCTCCGAGTGACGACGTCGCTCAGGATCAGCAGTTTCAGTCGGCGATAGCCCAGGGGTGAGCACCGCGACGCCACCAGTGCCGCGATTAGGAACGGAGACGAAGCAGGCCGCGGTCTTGCGGGCCGAGTGAATCTCGCGGTTGGGCTCCGCCTCCGAAGCATTGGCCTCCTGCAGCGCTAGTGCCGCCGCGGAGTTCACCACCTGCAACATGTACGAGATCTTATTCTTTCTCTTGATGGGCCCCCCTGCCTAGTAAGGCCCTCGAGCTCCACGTCGTGAAAGAGATCGGTTTCGATGAGTGTGTCCCCCGCCAGGGGCTGAGGTCCTGCTGCCACTTGACGTTCTGCGCTGCGAGCGGGGTCTGGAAGAATTGTTCGAAGTGCCTGCGGACCCCCTCTCGGTTGAGCCCATGTTGGAGGCAGGCGTTGTAGTTGAAGAGCAGCCAGGTGGCTTCATCCTTTGTGGTTCCCACCGCGATGGAGAGGACGGGCATATGGTTGCAGCGCGCGATGCCCTGCTGACGGTCACCTCGCCACCGCGTCGCGTCGTCTTCTGCCCTGCAGCGATGGGCGAGCTTCGCGGCATGGAATTCTCTCCGCGCTGTTTTCCCTGAGCGATCGAGGCCGAGGAGAAGTCGAGTAGCATGCCCGCGTGAACATTGAACTTCTGTATTGAGCCATTCGCCATCTAAGCCTTTGAGCTTGCTATAGAAGGCCCTGACCTTACGAGCCGATGCGTTGGCGTCCGCACTGAACTGAACGAGGAAGCGCCACGCGGGGCTCTTCCCGACCACCTCCCAGAGACTTCACTGAGTTCGCACCTGTCCATGATCGGTTGGATGTTGCGCTTGAGCTGATCCGCTGTGTAATTCTCCGCTGCCGCGCCGACGATGATACTGGTGTTTGCCTCTCTGTCCCACTCAATGAGGTTCTCGTGTTCCTTGATCGGGATCTGCGCTTCTTGCATGTATAGCCGCTGTCGCATTTCTGCAACTTGAGCACGTAGGTCTTGTTGACCTGCTTCGAGCTTGGATGAGGCGTCCTGGAGCGATTGGATCTGCCCCGCGAGCTGTTCATGTTGCTTCTGCTGCTGGCCGACGACAGCGCCCACAGGTCCTCTGAGCTGCGAGGCAATCTCTGCGATGACCTCCTGCTTGACTGTGGCGAGCTTCGCGTCGAGCTGCGCGGTGAGGAAGTCCTGCGAGGCCGCGCGTCGTCGACGGCGTCCATGGGGTCGGGCAGCTCGGATTAGGTCGAAGCGTTGGATGCCCCACTCCGTTCAGCAGCTCCTTCTGCGCGGTGTCGCTTGGTCCCTTCGACTGCGACTCGAGCAGCCGACTCTCTCCACGGGTCGCGATCGTGAACGGCATCAGGGGCGCGACCACCTCCACGTTGAAGAGGCCATTCTCTCGCACCAGCACCAGTGGATTGGTCACCAGCAGCAGCAAAGTCAGCAGCACCACCTCCACGACGAGCCGACATTCGCGGGAGCCTCTGTGTGCCTGGGGCTGACCAGGGCTTGGGATATGGATGCCAGGGGCGGACCTGGACTTCTGAACACGGATGCCAGGGGCGGACCTGAACTTGGAAGCAAATGGAACTCGGGCTGGGAGCCTACCCCGCGAAGGCAGTTCTGGAGAGTTCGCCATTTGGCCTTGAGCCAAAATGGATATGTATATATATATATATATATACATACATACATACATACATACATACATACATGCACACATGCATGCATGTGTAACGCGCGCGCACACCTGCCCATACACATGCATACACATACAGACAGACATGACACACATAACAAACATAACACACATACGCATTTACACACATACACACATGCATAGATGCCCGTTGCCCCCGAGTAACACAGCACATACATTTACACACATACACACATAACAAACATAACACACATACGCCGGGTTCACCGAGGAACCCCGCCCCCGGTCGCCCGTTGCCCCACATACATACGCAAACATACACACAAAACACTCAGCACAGCACAACACATCACAATACAATACAAGGTTTTACACGCCCCCTGGTTTCTCCCAGGCCAGCAGCGATATGCCGTGGTCACAGACCTTTGCCCTGATGATACTGGAGCACACGACTCAAGAGACCTGAGAGCTCTCGACCGGTCCCAAAACAACAATACTCTTCTTTGACGTTATAAGGAATCAGAGGTACGGCGGGCGGGCTCTGGGCGGCTTGAGCCCAAGCAGTTAAAGACAGAAGTAGAAGGAAGAGAGGGAAACGCATTCACTTTCGGCTTTCCAAACAATTTCTGTATTCAAAGCTAAAACAATATTTAAGTGATCAACGAAGCTTTGCACGCCGCCTCTGCTGCTTCCAAGCATGGGCATTTGCCCTGAGAAGGCTGGAACAGAGGACTCAAGCAACCTGAGAACTCACGACCACTTTCAGAGACATGTCACTCCAGACTTGCCGTAATACATCTGGAGGCATCGGATCAAAACTCACAATAGCCATATAATTTAAAGGCGGCCAAGGCGTCATTAAACCTATGGGCGAGAACGTTACACAGTGGCTTGGGATAACGTTAGGCGATTCGAACGTAAACAAAAAACCTTGCCATTTTCAGGACAGCTCGCCGTGGGGTTTATAAGAGTAGGTACATATGCCGCGGCCAGTGCACAGATAAGAGCACCTAGATAAACCATCGCGCGCGCGAGCGATCCCCGTGCACTTACGCCGCGGTATACCACAAACGCAAACATCAATTCGAATGCTTCGCGCAAGTCTGAGGCGGCGGGCGGGAGCCACAGCTGGACACAACCGAATTCTGTCGGCTAGCCCAATCCAACCGCACTGCTCTCCGCGTCGGGTTTTGAAATCAATGATCGGAATACCCACTTGTCCCCTCGAAACGGCTGAGAAGTGCCCTGGCCCAGAAAAAAGCTCGATGGCAAATCGGACGACCAGGATGTTAGCCTGCAGAAGCGGCAGCACCTGAGGGGGTGGGGGTCTCGGAGGCGCATCGCGGCGCGGCGAGATGAACGCCACGTAGCAGGCAGTGCAACTGCTCCATCAGCCGGCCTACTTTCTGGCAGCGCCGCACTGAGCTTGGCTGAGCCCATCCGCCACGGTGCTGCACGCCCGGCGGGCTCCTGCGCCCAGGGCCGGTGTCGAGGCTCACCCCGGCGTGCCGCGGCCCGGGCAGCGTTGCACCACCCCGCCTCGCCTGCGCTGGTTCCGCCACTGCTGACACGTGAACTTGAAGATCGGGCTGTCCGCATAGCGGGCCCGTTGCCACAAAGCCCGCAACGCGGGGACCACGAAGTCGTGATCCGACAGGTCCAGCGTCCGCGAGTCGCCCCACTCGTTCACCCATGAGGGCTGGTCGCGAACCCATCGGGTGCAACATCGCTGTCCACCTCGCGCGGAGCGCGCCCGCGCCTCGCAGCGGGGGGGCCAGCTGGCGCCGGCGGAGGCCGAGGGCCTCGCTCGGTCTCAGGTCGGAGACCACGCGCATCAGCACTGCCAGGGCCATGCCCCGACAACCCTCGCGCACCAGCCATTCGCACCAGAGGCGCACCGCTTCCCGCGGCGCGCGCAGCCTCGACGCGCCGGGGGCACTGCAGGGGCCAGCCCCGCAGGGCCTGACAAGCCGCAGCCAGGCGCGCGCCCTTCTGCCGCCCCCGCTGCGGGTTGAAGTCACGCGCCGCCGACGCCAGACGAGACCCGAGCGCGCCAGAAAATCGGCATCGAAGCGGCTCGATCGCATCGAAGTGGGCCTCGTGGGCTCGGGGAGGCGCGTCGGCCCGAGCAACACCCACGAGCGCGCGAGCTCGCAGGGGAGGCTCGAGCTAAGCCTCGTCGCCTGGGGGCTCCAGAACCAACAACAACGAGTTCCGCCGAGGGCTTTTTTCGAGGAAGGACGGGGGGCATAAAGATATCAGCATGTGTGGACTGTCGGAACTCCGCGCGGATTTCTTGGATCTGCGCCGCCCGTCCAGCACCGATCCAAGAAATCCGCGCGGACATCCGAAAAGGTATGTTTGTGCCGTATCTTCGTCCTCGACTGCTTGCAGAGGCCTGGCTCGCTTCGCCTGCTTCTTGGGCATCTTGCTGGGCCTGCTCCGATGTCAGGGCGAGCTGCTGTGCTCGCCATGCCAGCAAGGGTGAGACCGAACCTGGCCACACCTGCTGGGTTGTCCACGTCTCCCCCTGAATCCCGCTCACCACGACTCAAACGGATCCCCCAGCCCAGGAGAATGGAAAAGAATGGTGCCTCGAATTCCGAGGCAAGCAATGGCACCAAGGTCGTGGTTTCTCTCTCCCCCTCCTCCTCCTCCTCCTCCTCCTCCTCCTCCTCCTCCTCCTCCTCCTCCTGCTCCTTTCCTCCTCCTCCTCCTCCTCCTCCTCCTCATCCCCCTCCTCCTCCTCCTCCTTTCCTCCTCCTCCTCCTCCTTCTCCTCCTCCTCCTCCTCTTGGACCGCTCTTCCAATTGCAGCGCCCGATCTCTGGGCTCCTCCTGCCACTCCTCCTCCTCCTCCAGAAACGGGATTTGGCGGTGCGCCCAAGGGGGTGGAGGGAGGGGGAGGGCTTCTTAGAAAGAGGCTGCTCCTTAGAAGGCGCCGGCCTTGCATCTGTAGATAAGGCCCGCGCCCTCTAAGAAGCAGGGGTGCTTCTGAGAAGCCCTCCCCCCTCCCCCCACCCCCCTCTGCGCGTGGCTGAGAGATGGCGCCGGGGCTGAACATTGCGTCAACGACGACGACGACGACGACGACGACGACGACGGCGAAGACGAGGAGCCATGCCCGCACAGCGCGGGGGTGCGGCGAGGCGGCTGCTGCGGCGGGCAGCGGCGGGGACCGACGGTGCGGGGCCTCCTGGGGCAGCTGCAGGAACTCCTCCAGCACCTGGGGGGGGAGGCCCGGGAACGAGGGGAAGGGGGGGAGGCAAGCTAGATGCGCTCGCGTCATATATGACGTCCTACCCCTCCCTCCCATCCCTTACCATGGCGCTGATTTTCTCTATCCGCGGACGCGTGTCGTAGCGGACCTGTGGCTCCGCGCGCGCGTGCGCAGTGGGTGGTGGTGCGCGTGCGTGCGTGCGTGCGTGTGGGCGTGGCTGTGGTGGTGGTGGGAGGGGAGGAGTGTCCTGGGGGGCGACGGAGGGGAGGAGTAGCCTGTGGGGCGACGCGCGCGTCCGAAGCGCCCGAGCTCGGCGGCAGGAGGGCAGCGGCACGGGCGGGCAAGGGAACGCACGGGCTGCGCTCGAGACCGAGTCCAGCGAGGCTGGGTCGGCGGCTGCAGCGGTCTTCGCTCTGTCGTAGACGTGGAATGCGAGCGCTACGCGTACCACGGCGCGCAGCAACGAGGAGGGGGCGAGGCGGAGGAAAGGACTACCCCAAGCGGACTCAGTCGGAACGCGCTACCTCCAAGGGGGGGGGGGGGCTTCATCTGAGCGACCGCCCTTCCCCAATGTGAGGGAGGATGATTTGACTGATTTGATGCCGACTCGGCCAACGAATGCAGCCTGCAGCCCTGGGCCTGCCACGCCGTGCTTCCCTATGCTTCCCCCCCCTTCCTGCGCCACATCAGTGAGGGAGGCTTGCACCACTACAAGGTCAAGTAGAGGTCAAAGCACTGACCGAAGACGCCTCGCCAGCCCGAGGATCATGAATTCATCATGCACCGCGGGCAAGCCAAATCGCGGAACTGCCTGATCAGCAGGTCTGACCCAGCACAGGGAGACACCAGGGCGAAAGTGCTTCCCATCTTTGATCTAATGTACAATATTCGCAAACACCCGCCTGCAAACTGACCCATGGCAGACAATCAGATCCATACGAGGAGCCGATGCCCCAAACCTTGTCGGGTGGGGCGAAGATGCTTCGCTGACATGTACTTGTCACGTACACTAATCCAACATGCATGACATCTGAAACGCCCGGTCTCCGTCATGCAGTGGAGCCCGTTTAAGTGACGTGTAGCTTTCTGGAGGGATGATCACTCAAGCTGAGGGGAGAAGGAGCAGGAATATCGTTACTTCGCTGCACACCTGGCATCTGGCACCAAGACCGTAATCCAAACAAGATTGTCCAGGAACTGGGCCATCGCGCCAAGACACCTGGGCCTCAAGCCGTACAACCGACGTACGTGTGCCGATATACCAAACTTGAAAAAAACATATGCATGGCCAACCGTTCACACCCAATACTTCAGAAGGTGCAAATCGGCCGAGCTTGGAAGGCTCCCTTGACCCACGCCTTCAGGGCAACGTTTGCCGTCCCCTCCACAGCTCAGCGGTCTGTGCGAGGAGAGTACCGAGAGGAGGGAGCAACGTAGCGGCGGTAAGGTGAGCGAGGCGAGGAGGGAGGGGAGCAGTAAGCCCTGCCAGAGGCAAATCCAGACGATGTACAAACAAGACAGCAGAACATCTGCGGAAATTGTTGCGACAAGCCTTGCCCACATAGACGACCAAACATACCATATCACGACGTGTTCAGACCTAGCTCGGTCTGTAAAGAAGCACGACCTTACAGCCAACCCGTCTGCGTTACACGTGGAGCCGCGCTTCTGCATTGCCGTGGATTGGTTTGATGCGATTTGCTTTGAACTCTTGCGCTTTGCCCTGCGTTGCATGCATCAATTGCTTTGAATTGTGCTGTGTTGTCTTGCAGTATGTTGCACTGCGTTCCCTTGCACTGTCTTCCTCTGCTGCGGCGTCTTGCTTCGCACTTCTTCGCTTTGCGATTAATCGCTTCTCAAAGTAGATAATTCCTCGAGAAGCGGGGTGCGCATATCTGAAAAATCAGGGCGGGCGTCCTCAATGAGTCTGGCCCCAGGGCAAAATCGACACCGTCCCACTTGCACAAAATGACGAAGACCCCACGACTGCTGAAAATACTACGATTGCCCGCGCCTCCGCGGATCAGAGCGATGGGGGGGGGGGAAACGTTGGGGTCGTCGGCGGCCTGCGAGGCTCGACGGCAAAGTTCAGGAAACCCACGACAACAACACAAAGGTTTCTGCAGGCGCCAATCTCGTCAAGGATGTGTGGGTGGGCCGCGCGTGGGTCGGGCGGGCGAACCCTACCGAGCGGGCTGGGCGGGACATTGAAGCGGGCGGGCGGGCCCTGACGGGCCCTGACGCGCAACCGACGCGCAGGCGGCGCCAGGAGGAGGAGCAGGAGGAGGAGCAGGAGGAGGAGGAGGGAGGAGGAGGAACAGGAGGAGGAGGAGCAGGAGGAGGAGGGAGGAGGAGGGAGGAGGAGGGAGGAGGAGGGAGGAGGAGGGAGGCGGGCCTGACGGGCCCTGATCAGGTGGGCCCTGACGCGCAAGCCGGGCGATGGGACTCTGGCGGGCTGGTCGGGCGGGCGGGCCCTAACAGGGCGGGCCGGGCGGGGCGTCGAAGCAGACCTCGAGCACGGGATTTGACGCTCCAGCGGGAGCACGGGGTCCGGAGCACAGTGAAAACACACCTCGCGCGAGGGCGCGATTCCTGGGCGTCGAAGGCGCAGCGCCTCAGGAAATTGCACCAGCCCTCTTGGGATGAGTGGCTCGGGGAGCCCGTTCTGGAAGCGGATGGGGATGGGTTCCCCCTCCCCCTGCCCCACGCCCCGTTGGGTCTGGACCCCTCCCGCGAGGTGTCACAAGGTTTTGTTTGGCCCCCGGTGGCTCCAGAAGGGCCCCACTGACACAATATGGCCTCCAAAATCTCCCCAAACACACAGGGCTCACCATTCAAACGTTCGCCGTGTTAGTGTTGACGTTATTGTGTTTTTCTTTTGTGCGGACGCATGCCGCGCAGTGCGCGCACGCTCGCCTGTGAGCCTCTGCTCGGGGCAGCGTTGAAAAACCCGTTGCCCGCAAGCGTCCGCACATGCAATGCACTTTCATGATCCATGCCCACGAGGTCCTTGGTCAGGCAAGCCCCGCCATGCCGGCACATTGCTGCACACCCCCTACGTCCGCAGAAACAACGCTTGCAGGAACGCCCCCCGGACAACCTGGGATGACATCGCCCAGCGGGCACGAATCGTCTCCTGCAACGAATGAACCTCCTCCTCCTCCTCCTCCTCTTCCTCCTCTTCCTCCGCCGCGTGTTCCTCCTTTTCATCCCCTTCCCCCCTCACCATCCCCCTAGCGGCGCTGTGGCAACATGCGCGGCCGCGCGTGTCTGCGCACCCCCTCGCGGCCACGAGCGGCGCCATGCGCGGGCGCGGGCGATCCTCCGCTGCGGGATGTGCGGTCAAGCGCGGACGCGCGGGGCGGGGGCAGGGGGGCATGTGCGGCATGCTGTACGGAGCTGTGCTGGCATGTGCGGCCACGCGCGGCCCTGTGTAGCCGCGCGGCCACGAACGGTGCCAAGCGCGGGCACGCGCGGCGCCGCGCGCGGGCATGCGCGGGCAGCGCTGGGGCACGCAGCCGCGGCGTGGGCACCACCTACTACATCGCCCGATGTACGCGACGTACATGCAGCGCAACCGTTCCCGCGCACGCCAAGCACGTGCACGTGCAGTCGCAGACAAAATTTGGCACGGGCGTTCCAAGTAATGCAAGAGGTGACGCGGGATGCGAGCACCTCAAATCGAGAACCGGCTGCGCCGCCGATGCTGACAGATTGGGCAGCGCCGCCTTGGGCCAAGACGGCAGCGGCATCGGCCAAGCGTATGTCCCCCCTTGGGAGAGACCGTCAAAGTCGAAAGGGGGAAAGGGCCCGACCGCCGCCGTCCCCATGCGGGCTCGGCCGCGAAGCGCCAGGTAGCCGCCGGCCACGACCAACTCAGGCGCAGCGATGCGAGGGCCAAGAAAAAAACGCGAGCGCACAGTGCTGGGTCATGTTCCCATGGGCCAGAGAGCATAGCATCTAAAAGTAACGCAGCAAAAGGAAGCTGATAACATGCAACTCATGCTGGACCAGCCAGCAGGCTGCCCAGAAAACTCGGAAAGACGCCGATGGGGCTGATCCACATCGGGCTAAGACATTGCCATCGCGCGACCACGAAACAAAAGCCACGCGGGAAATCAAATGGCTAGCTGGACAAGCGCGGCCGCGCGCGCCCGTTATCCAGCGGCCCCCGTCCCGCGACAAATGCAGGCAAGAGGGCCCTCGCGCTTGGCGTAATGGTTGAGGAGAGGAAGCCCTTCATCATGTTGGTCGAATATTCTCGCGCGCTTGAAGTCTAGGTAGTAGGGGGCATCGGGGCATCGGCGCAGTGGTATCGCTGTCATAGCGGTCGAAGCCGAGGTCGTCCGCGTTGCTCTCGTTGTGGTCTTGCAGGCGCTTGTCACTGTGCAAGTCGTATGCCAGGGCGGTGGTGAGCAGAGCCGCCGCAGTTGCAGCAGCTCCGCTACCAAGTTTGAAATGGGTGCTCCAACAAATGACTGCGTAAACGGTAATTAATGTCAAGAGGTGGAATGGGATGGTGCTGGAGGGGATAAGGACCCTCTTCTCCTGCTACCACTTCAAATCGAGCACCGGCTGCGCCGCCGATGCTTGCAGATTGGGCGGCACAGCCTTAAACCAAGACGGCAGCGGTATCAAGCAAGCTTACATCCCCCTTAGGGCATACCTTCAAAGTGACAACGCTCACGGGCGGGCCCCCCAACAAAACAATGGACAAATTTGGAGCACATGCCCCCGCACACCGCACATTTGCACAGGCCACCAGAAGTAACGCTGCGATAATCCCACGATGATTCAAGCCAGTCTCCAACATGTTTGCAAAATGCCTCAAGATCGCCCAAGCACGGCCCCAATTGCCTTCGAGGCTACCGGGGAGGCTCCCGGGAGGCCAATATTCTTTACAACCACGTCGGTGTTCAATGTGTTTTGCCTTCTTACAGTTCCCCTTCCGATGGGCTCTCGAGGACTCACGATGTCGGGCCCCGACGGGGGACCGAAATCGGCGACCCTTCGCGCTTGATAGATGGCCTCCAGGATTGCCCCAATAAGCCCCCACCCGAACCGTCAAGAGGGCCCCGAGAAAGCCACGGGAGCGTCCCAAGAAGGCTCAGCGCCACAAGAGGGCCTGAGAGGCTTCCAAGATTGCCCCAAGAGGGCCCCACGATGGCCCCAAGACGCCTCATCTAAACACCCCGAGAAAAAATCGAAACGGTACTGATAATGACTCCTGTCGTCGTCGTCGTCGTCGTCGTCGTCGTCGTCGTGAATGTCGACGCCGTCTCCGTCGTCCGTCGTCGTTCGTCGTCGTCGTCGTCGTCGTCGTCGTCGTCCCACTCTTCCCGCTGATTTCTTGATTGAGTTGTTACCTGTCGTTACTCCCAGCTTGCTAGATGACCAGCTCCCGCGTCGTCGGTGTTCGCGCGCCCTAGCAACGCACACACGGCGATCAATGATAGGCAACCGCTCTACCAAAGCATCCCTGGGCACGCACGAAGTAATACAGGCGCCGCAAGCATCGGCAGCCAACCATCCAACCAGGACACCACACATCCCTGATTAGGGCAACTCGCCTGGCGCTTGTTTTTGGACGGGCTGGTGGGATACGTTACGCGTCAAAAATTGCAAAGACATCCTGTGCGAGAGCGCGAGTCCTGAGCGAATTGGGAGGACGTATCAAGCGATAGCGCGACTTGCAATACGCAGAACCCCGCTAGAGCCACGCACCCAGAGCTACGCGATGGTGCAAGACAGTTCGGTTCCCTCACTCGGATCATCAAGTCAATCCCTACGACATCGGTTCGAGCGTCTTGCAATATCCCATTGAAATCTGGAGACCGTCATGGATGATCCATTTCTTTGCCAGTGCAGAGGCGGAAATGGATAATGGAGATGTGGCTCTCGGTATCTCGGATGGCTAGCCCTGCTCCGGCCTCCAAGATCCGCGCCCCGCTTAAGCAACGGGTGCGTTCCACGAGAATGGCTTTGACCGGAAGAGGTGCGCTCTCGACCCGCGAATCAAACAAAAAAAAAGCGTTCCATGAGAATTGCAACTGTGACGTCACGAGAGCAATCCGTAAAGGCATGCATCCAACGGCAGGAGGCACAAACGTCTGCGGGGGGAAGGGGGGGCTCGATACCATCACCCGTGCAAGCGCCCTCCAGCGGCCAGAAGCTGAGAAGCACACCCTCGATGCCATGGAGAAAGAGGGATCCAGACAGAAGCGCTAGAAAGCAACTCCTTGGAGGCTTCGTAAGAACAGTTCAAATACATCAAGCCCGATTGATGAGACATCAACCAAGCCCAGTCAGGCCTGATGAAGCCCAGATTTGAACCGAATTCAGCGGGACTCATCTGGATTAAGCGTGATGGTGCCGCTGGTCTATGCGGCTTGTGACCACGGATACATCAACGCCAATACTGAATTCGACCTCCCAAGAGATGCATCCTACGAAACGGGTCGTGGACCCCTGGCCTTTCCTCAGAACCGTGCTTTCATCAAGAGTGGTTCTGGACGGTCAGGGAAGGGGGGGCAAGGAAGGGCCCTAGGAGGCAGAACATGAACCAGCAAATCCTCAGAGTCCCTGTCTCTCAGGACTACCAGTCTTGACTCTTGATGATACGAACGAACAGCACGCACCCATACCCAGATGGGGAGAGGAGGGGGCTGTGGGTGCGTTTTGTCGAATGGGGGCCGCTGCTCGAACGGGAGCATCCCCCCGGGCCCGACAACCCATACCCAGACCCACACGGCCAGCCCTCCCCTCTCCAACAACCCATTGGTATGGGTGTGTGTGTGCTGTTCTCTCGTCATGATGCTGCAGTCCCGTGCCGCCGACGGGCCTTCTGCATCTCTGTCACCATGAGCTCGTGTATCTGTATGATCTTGCTCATGTTGATGCTCCGCGCTCTCTCCGGGTCGCCCTCCGGGCGGACGGGGCACAGCGGGCAAGGAGAGGACGGAGGGCCTTGAAGGCTCACGGCGTCGCGCACAGACTACGCCGTCACTGAGACGTTTTCTCTTCTTCCTTCTCAGCATCACGACGTTTCACCGCAGGCGTCCCCGACGCGAAAATAGAGGCATGGAAGACCGTGGGAATGAAGGCGAATAGTCCTGACACGATGTCTCTGGGCAATTGACTGTTGTCCGCCCAATTCGGCTAGTCGCCGCCCAAGCACCAAGCGACGCAAGCACGCACTGACCCAAGACTTGCGCCTTGCGCCCTGTCCTCGAAGTCCTTGTTTCCTGAATGTATACCCAGTGCAGCTACAAGCAGACCTAGTCCTGCCATGCATATGATTGCTTGCCGCTGGCGCAATCTCCTCAATCAGACAGCGACAAAAAAAGGTTTACGAACAACAAATTCAGCGTTTCGCTCGAGACATCCGCGACAGACGAACATGTTTACTTGACCATGTGGCTGATCGATCGGAATGTCAAAAACCAGCATTTCGCTCGGGAGATCCTCACATTTTGAATTCGCCGGCCCTACGCGACCTCGTGATTTATCGCAAATTGAATTCGCCGGTCCTGCGCAAGTCGAGGCTGGGGGGAAACCATCTAAAAGGCCCTTTCCGGGAAAACGACCACCGCCCAGCAGCGCCGCATGGGCCACGAACGCGCTGGCAAGCGCCAATGATGGCGCAATACGGGCCGGCGGAATCAGCGAAGCGATTAGATAATCAAACAAATATGTTATGACATGCTGTCCACAGTGTGAGTTATCACATAGTATTAGGATATGATATTTCTTCTGCAACATGTTAGAGCCTTGGATGCTACAGTACATTCGTCGCCTCGGAGGTAGCTATAATAAACACTTCTGGTATGCTATGATATGAAATGGTATGCTGTGCACTACTATGCTCCGTCATGTCCTGGCATGCGTCATTATGTTATCGTGCTTCGAGCCAGCCTGGATACTGACCCAGCCTCGGGTGAGGATTCACACCAGGAAGATTCAGGCGCTGTGAAGAGGATCCATGGTCAATCCCACGTACAAGACGCCCGCAGGACTACAGCCCAGTTGCCGAGGGGAAGGCCCGAAAGGTAGGTGCAAACATGATCGACCCACGAACCCGGAAAGGAATATAGAAATTTAAGGTATGGCAACGTTTCAAAGACACCTGATTGGGCGACGGGCAAATGCAATGCTGAATGTATTGATCTTGATGTACTGTGCCGAGGGCTGTGCTGTGCTACGCCGTGCTGAACTGCGACATGCTATGCCGCGATTGTGCTCTATATAGCGTTGTGGATCGAGTCCTCCCTGGCATCCAAGTCCTGACCGAACTGATCTGGATATTATGCTCGAGCTGCCTGAGCAGATGGTAGCTGCCCCAAAACTAGTCGACAGAGGGGACATGCCAGGAAGACGCGCCGCAGAACGTCCCAAGGGACGCGCCAGGCGACGTGCCAGGGGACGTGCCATGGGGACGCACCGCGGGACGTGCCAGGGGACGCGCCGCGCGACGTGCCAGGTGGACTCGCCACGGAACGCGCCAAAGAACGTGCCAGGGTGCAATGTTGAGTGTATCGATCCTGATGTACCGTGCCGACGGCTGCTGGACCGTGCTGAACTGCGATGTGCCATGCCGCGATTGTGCTCTATATATAGCGTCGTGGATCGAGTCCTCCCTGGCATCCAAGTCCTGACCGAACTGATCCGGATCTTATGCTCGAGCTGCCTGAGCAGATGGTAGCAACCTCAGAACTAATCGACAGGGGGACATGCCAGGAGGACGCGCCGCGGAACGTCCCAAGGGACGCGCCAGGCGACGTGCCAGGGGACGTGCCATGGGGACGCACCGCGGGACGTGCCAAGGGGACGCGCTACGGAACGTGCCAATGGACATGCCGCGGGACGTGCCAGGGGACGCGCCGCGCGACGTACCAGGTGGACTCGCCACAGAACGCGCCAAGGAACGTGCCAAAATGCATTGTTGAGTGAATCGATCTTGATGTACCGTGCCGACGGCTGTGCTGCGCCTGGGCGACCTCGACACGTGAAAACACGCGTTTCGCTCAAGACGTTCTCAGCACATCCTCATGCTAGGCATCCGCCTGGTCAACCTGGACACGTGCAAACAAGCGTCTCGATAGAGACTTCCTCGACACATCCTCATGCTAGACATCCGCCTGGGCGACCTGGACACGTGAAAACAAGCCTCTGGTTCGAGACATCCTGAACACATCCTCATGCTAGACATCTGTCTGGGCAACCTGGAGGCGTGAAACCAATCGTCTCGCTCGAGACATCCTGAAGACCTGGGCACGTGTAAACAAGCAACTCACTTGGGAGATCCTCTGAATTCAGGTCCCCACGAGAGAACAATCTATAACACAAAACAAGCGTTTCGCTCGACCATCCTCAAACAAATTCTGGAAAACAAACGTTTCGTTCGAAACATCCTCAAACATAAATTCGCCGGCCCTACGCGACCTCGTTACTCATCGCAAAATAATTTCGCCGGCCCTACAGCCGTCAGAACAGGGGGTAAACACACTAAAAAAGAACCTTGGGCCCCAGCCCTTCCCGGGAAACATGATCGACCCACGAACCTGGAAAGGAATATCGAACTGTAACACATGGCAGCGTTTTCAAAGACACCTGATTGGGTGACGGGCAAATGCAATGCTGAGTGCATCGATCTCGATGTACCCTGCCGAGGGCTGTGCTGTGCTGCACCGTGCTGAATTGCGATGTGCCATGCCGCGAGTGTGCTCTATAGCGTCATGGATCGAGTCCTCCTTTGCATCCGAGTCCTGACCGAACTGATCTGGATCTGAAGCTCGAGCTGCCTGAGCACACAGTAGCTGCCCCACAACTGATGGACATGGGAGCATGTCAGGAGGACGCGCCGCGAAACGTCCCAAGGGATGCGCCAGGCGACGTGCCAGGGGACATGCCATGGGGTCGCACCGTAGGACGTGCCAACGGGACGCGCTAAGGGACATCCTCAACATTCCTGCGCGCGGGACGTGACACGCGCGAGACAGCCCCGGAATTCCTGCGAGCGGGACGTGAAAACAAACATGTCGCCCGAGACATCCTCTGAATCCTGGCCCCCCACGAGGCCCCCGCTCGAGACATCCCCCAAGTTTGCAAAACCAGCGTTTCGCTCGAGACATCTTCAACAAATTATGAAAAACAAGCGTTTCGCTCGAGACATCTGGCCAAAATCCAAGGACATCCTCGCAAAACAAACGAATTAGTCGAGACGTCCTCAAAATTCCTGCGCGCGGGACGCGGCACGCGCGAGACATCCTTGGAATTCCTGCGAGCGGGACACGCAAACAAGCATTTCGCCTGAGACATCCTCTGAATTCTGGCCCCCCACGCAGCCCCCGCTCGAGGCATCCCCAAATTTTGCAAAACCAGCGTTTCGCTCGAGACATCCTCAACAAATTATGAAACACGAGCGTTTCGCTCGAGACATCCTGCCAAAATTTTAAGAAATCCTGACACAACAAACGAACATCCTCGAAATTCGTGCGCGCGGGACGCGGCCCGCGCGAGACATCCTTGGAATTTCTGCGAGCGGGACACGACAACACGCATTTCGCCTGAGACATCCTCTGAATTCTAGCTCCCCACGCAGCCCCCGCTCGAGACATCCCTAAATTTTGCAAAACCAGCGTTTCGCTCGAGATATCCTCAAGCGTTTCGCTCGAGACATCCTACCAAAATTCTAAGAAATCCTGACAAAACAAACGAATTAGTCGAGACATCCTCGAAATTCCTGCGCGCGGGACGCGGCACGCGCGAGACATCCTCGGAATTCCTGCGCGCGGGGCGCTTTTCCGCGTCGCGGTCGGGGCTCCAGACGCCGTTATTTGTAGAGGATTCTGCGAAAAACGCTCCGCACCCTCTTTTTCACGAAGGAAAACAGGGATCTGCGGACCCAGTTTTTTATCGAGGATCCGAGATGGGGGGCGCACTTTCCTCGAGCGGGCACGCACGAAACGCACTTTTTCAAACAACAAATCAGCACTTTACCTCGTTATTTACGCAGAATAATTTCGCCGGCCCTCAACAAGTCAAAACCGATGGTAAACCCACTAAAAGAAAACCCTGGGTCCGGGAAAAAAACAATTACCGTGAGAGTCATGCCGGCAACTGTCCTGGCAACTGTCCTGCCCTGTTCTGTTCCGGCATGTTATGATACGTTATGTGATGTTACGGTATGTGGTGCGATGCTCTGTTCTGTGTGCTCGGCTCTGTCATATTTGCATGCGTTGGTATGATGTGTTGTGCAGTCCTATGCCATAATATGACATGCTCGTGCTGAAATGCTATGCTGCTATATAATGTTCTGCTATATTCAAATATATCTTACCGCGCTGTCCTGGTATGGTATGATTTGTCATGACATGGACTGATACGTTACGTGACTTTCATGTAATGATGCTCAGGTGCTCAGGTCCTGTCGTGTTCGTCGAAGGGGCGAGGCGGGTCTCTCTGGGGGCTTTTCGGTGGACCTGGGGATCTGGCGGCCGCGGTATGCAGAGTGGGCGGGTCGGGTCTGGAGGGGCGAGACTCTCGGGGGACCATCGGTGGACCTGGGGATCTGGCGGCCGCGGTATGCAGGGTGGGCGGGTGGGGAGGCCTGTTCTTAAAACCTAACGGCCCCTGCCTGTCGGGCGGGGGCAACATGCTCAATCACGGCTTGCAAATTCGTTGCCTTCCTCGTGGCGGCCCCGGCCCGGCCGACGGAGGGACGCCGAGCGGTCCTTGCCCATGGGGTGGAGCAGCCGCTGCGCAGAGTTCATCACCTCCGGGGAGGGCACTCTCGGGGCCAGCCGGCCGTGCCGCGGGGGGGACCTGGGAAGCCAAACGGCGCCCCAGGCACTGCAGGGTCGGCTCGGATGGTCATGGATGCTGCTTCACAGGGGACCGTGGTCGGAAGGCAAGAAAGCGGGGACCATGACCGATGCGGAACGCGAACACGTCGTGTCGAGCTTGGTCATTGTCGATCTTCGTCAACGTCATTTCGCGGACCATGCTCGCGAAGCGGCGACGTCCGACACGGAACATGGCCGTGATCGGCATCGACAAGATCCCGCGACATCTTTGTCTTAGTCCCCGAGGTGCTTCCCTTCAGTGGTGCCAGAGGTTAGGAACATGAGCAGGTGGAGGCGCCGATGCCGCCCGAAGGCACTTTGGAGCAGAGGGCGCGCGTAAACCCAGTGGCATTCAGTTTGTCCAGCAAGTGTGCCTACAGTCGAGGCCATGACCTAAGGAACCCAAAATGTAAGGAACGAGGCCCCTTTTTTCCATAAATTAAACTTCGATTTCCGATCGAAAACATAAGGAACACCTGAGGCAAGCTGCGAAACACTTTAGGAACGCGGAGCCCCTCCCCAACACAAAGGGTTCCTTCTTCAGGGCCCCGACGGTAATCGCTTTTGGGTCCGACAAGGAAGCCGTCGCAGCCTTCGAGGACGAGCGCCGCTCGGCAGCACGGCCTGCTTCTGCGCCGGGAGTCGAGGGAGGATGACGAAGGAGGAGGAGCACGACGAGAAAGAGGACGGCCGAGAAGAGGAGGCCGAGAGGATGAGAAGGTGGAGCATCAGCAATAACACCCTCAACAGTAAGAAAAAATAATGTTCTGCTTACCGAGGAACCGAGATCAAGACCACGAAACTAAGATCAAGGAAGCGCGGACTCAATCCCAATAAACCCAGGAGACAAAACACAAGAAACCTAGGATAACAACGAAGAACCAACACCAACGGGGAACACCACCGTAAATCAACAACGTCGAAAGAACGGCAAGGAACTGGGCGACGTCCGCGTCGGGTGCTTTCATTACGCATAAGTCAGAGACCCTGAAACCCTAAGGCAACACCTAATGTGGGAAAGTCCCATTACAAACCCGCAGGACAAAAACATCAAGTTTTAGGGACCACAGGACGTAGGGCATCTTGGAAAACCCTTCCGGGAATCATCCTAGCGGTCGCTAACAAGACGAAGGGGCGGAAAGAGGTATGGGGACACACCGTGAAAAGCAAAACACATTCCCGTAAGCACCCACGAGCCCGCAATGGGCCCGCTCTTCATCCCTTTTTGCACAACACAATGGATCCGCGCGCGTGCAACCACGATCTCTTGCACAATAGAACGTATGTGAGAGCGCGCAGCCACGCTCCCCAATTTTAGACGCCTCTGGACCAGTGCCTTCGTTTTAAGTGTGCATGTTTTGGCGACCCCTCCAACGAACAAACGACTAATCCAACCAGCCAGTCAACCTGCCAGCCAGACAACCAGACAACCAGCCGAGTTACCAGCGTGTCACACAGGTAGCAAATATATCAACTAGCCACCCCAACTAACGAACCCACCATCGAGGCAATCACGACGGGGACCGTGGGTAAAGGCAAACACCTGAAGATATATGTGTTGACTTGTTTCGACACGCACGATGCAGCATATGCGTGGCAACGAAGCCTGCTAAAGCAAAGTAGATCTGCACCTGATTGGACGGCTCGGCAAGTCCGTCCGCCCGCGGCCGTGCCGCTCCACGAGTCCAATGTCTGAGCGAGCCAGGCGTAGGATAAAAAGGATCCGTATCATGGAAAAGGCTGTGGTACGACAACAACTCCGCAACAGGAAGCCTCCAGGCCTACGGATCCTATGGCGTTTCAAGTCCCGGTGAGCATGACCTGCGCAAGATACCCTGAAACACAAATCGACAGCAATGAGCCTTGCCTCATCAGACGCGAAACGACTGCAGGTGATGACGAGCCATCGCCCTCCGCATGACAGCGAGCGAACCGACCATCCTCTCGATGACTCTCCCGCCTGCGCTCCAGACCTCTGCTGCAGGACGCCTCCTCGTCCTCCTCGTAGAGCGAGAGCATGCGCTGAAAGGCCGTCTCGGAGAGGCCGCGGTCCTCTCGCCGCGGCTGCGCGCGACGACTCCGCTCCCCGAGCGCTCGGGCCGGAAGGCCCCCCCGAGAGGGCCCCCCCCGGGTCCTCCATGGCCGTGCTTGCGCTTCGGGGCCCGTGCTTCCTGCCTTGAGCCGGGACCGACCGTCCCGGCATTCCTCTAGGCCTCTAGGCCTGCCACGACCTGCTCCTTAGAAACCCAGGGGTGGTCCCAGAACAAGAGCCAGGTGCAGAGAGCAGAGGCCCGACGTCAGGCAGAACTGTCCCAAGAGCATCTCGTGCAAACCACGAGAGGCGCCGTTGGTGGGCCTGTAGGCGAGCCGGGCCGCTCTCGCCACTGCTTGACACCATCCCTGCGTGCTTCGCCGGACGGACGCTCGTCGGCGCCCCCGTGCGCCGGCTATTGGCCCGCCGAGGTGTCGCATGCTGGGCGGCCGTGGGCGCCCACGGTGGGGACCGCTGTGCGCTCCCCAATCGGTGCTTGCACGGAAGGTAGGAAGGCACCAACTATACACCAACACCGATCCTGGCCCAGGATCACCCTGGGCCCAGGATCGGTGTATACGCCCTCCTGCCTTGCGCAAGAAGGCATATACACCGATCCTGGGCCCAGGGTGATCCTGGGCCAGGATCGGTGTTGGTGTATAGTTGGTGCCCTCCGAGAAGGGGACCTGTAGTCGGGGAAGATTGGGGAGGACACGCGAGAGGACACGAGACCCTTGCGAGGGCCAACGTTGCCACGATCATGTGGAAGGCATGCGCCGCGAACGCACGGGACACAGGAGTACCCTTGGCTTGGCAGGGTCGACCTACTCATCTGGGCCGACTGCAGCGGAAGTCGAAAGATTTCGCGAAGATGTCCCGCCGATCTTGGTAGCAGGCCGGGTTCCATCAAACGGGGACTCCACTAACGGGTACTTTGGCCAGTGACCCAGCGAACCCAACCTTTCCCGATGCGGGCGACGCTGCATTGCCAACTTTCGGCAAAATTGCAAAGTACCCGTTAGTAAGTGCCCGTTGCGGTGCCGTTGAAGCAGGCTGGGTTCCCGGGTTCCTGGTTCCCGGGTTCCCGGGTTCCTGGATTCCCGGGCTCCCGGTCATCGGTCCTGGGCCGACTTCGGTGGGCTCTGGGTTCTCCGGTTCCCGGGTCCCCGTTAACGATCTCCTCAGCGAAACCCATCCACTGATTGGGGTCTTCTCTGTGATTTTTTAATTTGTTTCCGATGACCAGGAGAGCCCGATCCCCCCACCCACCACACCACACCTACCCACCCAGGCGCTCCGAGGTGACTTTCCATCTGGCCCTCTCCACTTGGGACCCGGCTGGAAGGCCCAACCAAAAAGACATGTCAGTTGGAAAACTATTACTTCTGGACCTGACGTGCCCCCTCCAACTTGTTCCCGAGAGCGCCTGCTGCCTTGGGGAACGCCCAAATGAATTTTCACGCGGGCACCGTTCCAGGGTGAAAATCCGTCTGGGACACGCCCCGCGCAATAAGGCGCTCTCGGGGATAAGCGGGGTTGTAAGGGGATGCGCACCGAAAATTAGCATTCCTTATGAAATCTGTTACTGGGGGGCAGTTTCTCGCGGCTGGCCCCCCCCCGCCCAATGTCGGGAGCGCCCCAGATGGATTTTCCACCCCGGAACCGCTCCAGGGTGAAGATCCATCTTGGGCCCCCCCCAAATGCAAAAAAAACTTTCGGGGATAAGCGGGAGGGTGTATCCCAGCCCTCCAAATCGCCATGCTCCGTACGACATCTCTTATTTGGGGGAGCTTTTCTCGCGGCGGGGCCCCCCCGCCTGGTGTCGGGAGCGCCCCAAGTGGGTTTTCACACTGGAGCCGTTCCAGGGTGAAAATTCATCCTGGACCCCCCCAATGCAAAAAAACTGTTCGGGGATAAGCGGGGGGTGGGGGCCGGTGGTCCTGGATGGACTTTCGCCCAGGAGCCGCCCCGGGATGAAAATCCCCACCCGGGACCCCAACTCGATGCAAAACAGGCCTCTCGTGGAGAAGGACGAGGTGCCCCCGAACCAGCAAAAACTACCCGATTTTCCGGACGAATTATTCACTCGGGACGTGTTTTTCCGCGACCGGGCTCCCCCCGCCCAGCGCCGGGAGCGCGCGCGCCCCGGGTGGATTTCCACCCCCGGAGCCGTTCTGGAGAGAAGATCCGCCCGGGGCCACACCCCGTGCAGCAAGCGCGCTCTCGGGGATGCCCGAGATCTCGGAGTGTGCCCGAGCCCCAGAAATCAAGATTTTCCAGGAATGGAGATCTGGCTTCTTGGGGAGCCTCTTCTCGCGGCTGGCGCCCCCCCCGCCCAGTGTCGGGAGCGCCCCAGATGGATTTGCACCCCTGAAAGTGCAGCTGGGACCCTCCCCGATGCAGAAAAATACGTGCGGGGACAGGCGAGAGGGTGCATCCGAGCCCCTAAAGTTGTATCATTCCACCTTGCATTTCTTATTGGGGAGCCTTTTCTCGCCGCTGGGCTCCCCATTCCGTCTCGGGAGCGCCCCAGATGGATTTTCACCCCGGAACCGTTCAAGCGTCAAAATCCAGCTGGGACCCCTCCAGTGCAAAAGCCGCTCTCGGGGATAAGTGGAGAACGAGGAGGAGTGGGAGGAGGAGCAGGAGAAGGAGGGGGAGGAGGGGGAAGGGGAGGAGGAGGAGGAGGAGGAGGAGGAGGAGGAGGAGGAGGAGGAGGAGGAGGAGCAGGAGGAGGAGGAGCAGGAGGAGCAGGAGCAGGGGCTCCCAGGCGGCGTCTTGGGCCTGTATTGGGCGGCCTGGGATCTGCAACGGATTTCGACGGAATCATTAAAATCCGTCGCGCGGCTGTGGTACCCCGGCCCCGAAAGCTGGCATTTTCCACATGCGACAGGGAGGGTGTTTTGCTCGCGTCTGGGATCCCCTGCCCAATCTCGGGAACGCCCCACATTGATGTTCACCCAGGAGCCGTTCCAGGGTGAAAATCCCATCTGGGACGCTCCCCAATGCAAAAGAACCATCTCGGGGAGAAGGGAGGGGGTATACCCGAGCCCCAAACATCGCCGTTTTCCATATGACATCTCTTATTGGGGTGCCTTTTCTCGTGGCTGGGACCCCCCGCCCAGTCGGTTTTTCAACCCGGAACCGCTCCAGGGTGAAAAATCATCTCGACCCCCCCCAAGTGGAAAAAAAACACTCTCGGGGATTAGGGAGGGGTTCCCGAGCCCCCAAAATCGCAATTTCCATATGATATCTCTTATTGGGGGCCTTTTCTCGCGGCTGCCCCCCTCCACCCAATGTCGGGAGCGCCCCAGATGGATTTTCACCCCGGAACCGTTCCAGGGTGAAAATCCATCGGAGTACCCCACCAAATTGAAAAACAGGCGATAGATGGGGCGGTGCACCGGAACCTCCCAAATCCCCATTTTCCATCTGACACATCTTTGGAGAGCTTTTTGTCGCGGCTGGGCCCGCCTGGTGTCAGGAGCGCCCCAAGTGGATTTTCACCCAAGAACCGTTCCAGGGTGAAAACCCATTCCCCCCCCAATGCAAAAAAGCGTTCTCGAGGATCAGAAGGGGGGGCGTATCCCAGCCTCAAAGATAATGTTCTTCCAAATGAGATCTCTTATTGGGGAGCCTCTTCTCGTGGCTGGGTTCCCCAATCCAGTCTCGGGGGCGCCACGGATGGATTGTCACCTCAGAACTGTTGCAGGGTGGAAATCCACCTGGGACTTCTCGAATGCAAAAACACATTCCCGGGGAGCTGCGAGGAGCACAATGAAGCCTTTTGCAAGGAGTCCAACACGACCTTCTGTAAGGAGCCCAACGCAGCCTTCTTTAAAAGGACGAATAAGGCCTTCGGTAAGGAGCACTATCAAGGTCCTTGTGAGGAATCCGCCCGCTAAGGCCTTCTCCAAGGAACTCAAGATGCCCTGTTGGGAAATCGTCGAAGAGGCCTCAGACGGATTTTCACCCCGAAACGGTTCCAGGGCGACAGTGAAACTGGAAACGGTGAGCGTCAGGGTTTCAGAATCACCCCGCACGGGTCCAAGTGATTCTGGAAGGTGAAACTCTGGACTTTCTTCTTCCACCAGGATGCCACCAACGCCGAAGCTGGCGTGGCGGCGCGGATCTGGACGCGCTGGGGGGGGGGGGCGACTGAGTCAGCGTCGCCTGGAGGTCCTCCTGGGGGACGCCTGCGCGCGTCGCCTCGTCGGCCCACCACCGCGGTGCCTCGGGGCGGGCCCCCCGCAGAGTGGCGCGGCTCCCCAGCAGAGGAGCCCCTGGCTGGGCCGCGCTCGCAGCCAGCAGCGCCCGGATCTCCAGCTTGCCCCCCCCCCCGCGCGCGCGCGCGGGTCCTCGGCGCTGCGCCCTCCACGGGCAGCGGCGAGGCCCCCCCCCTGCCCGAGGACGCGCCACGCCCGACCGAGGCTTCGGCGGCGCGCGGCTGCGGCCTGGCGGCGCCAGAGCACGGGGAGGCACCTCCGGGCGCGGGGGGCACGCGCCGTGAGGAGGGCGGTCCTCGGCGGCGGCGGCGCCCTCCGGGCTGCCCCCCCGTGCAAATTCGCCCGCGAGCCGGTGCGGGGCGGCCCTCCCCGCGCCCGGCGCGGCCTCGTGCCCTTCGACGGGCGCGGCGCCGCCAATGGCCGCGAAGAAATCGCGAGGGCCGACGATAGGAGGCCACATGCGAACCCTACCCCTACCCCCCACGATTTCTGAGGGGGAGGGTGGGGTTCACTTCGTAGGGGGAGGGTGGGGGTAGGGTTCGCGTGTGGCCCCCCCGAGGGATGCGGCCAGCACGCTCGGCCTCAAGCCGATCCGCACGGGAGCAGCCCGTCGGCGTCGCCCTCGTCCAGAAAGGGCCAGAGCAGGTCCATCTCGGAGATCTCCAAGTCGACCATCAACGCAGGGGCGGTCGCACTCAGCGGACGCGAGGCCGCGCCGAGCAAGGGCACGCTGAGCACCTGGAAGGGGCCAGCTAGCCCTGAGAATCTTTCCGCCTCCGCCAAGCTGAGACTGTCGGAGGTGCGGAGGGACCCAGGCAACGCCAGCAGGAAGACCCCCTGGACGAACGGCCAGGGGGATCGCGGCGCAGTTCTCCTCGCCCTCGCCCGACCGCCAGCGATCGTAGCGAGTGGCTGACAGAGGAGTGAAGGGGTTGATTACCAGCCTGGAACACATCCCTATCCCTAAGCTGGGCATCGCCTCACCACAATGCCAGTCTTAGGGATTCCCCAAGTTGTTCAGGGCGCTTCCCCAAGATTGTCATCGCCTTTGGGCGTGTCAGTCTTAGGGACAGGGATGAGTTCGAGGCTGGTGAGTTGAGGTCGGGCCAGCCTGGCCCCTCGGGGATGGCGAGCCCCCCAGCGAGCGCCGTGGCTGGCGACGCGAGCGCCAGCTTCGGGGGGGGGGCTGCGGGCGGGACTCGGGGCAGGGCCCACGCGCGCTCCTCGGCCCACGATCCCGAGCCGCAGGCCCAAGCCGTGGGCCATGGTGCGCTTCGCGCCGCGACCGCGCCCGCCGAGGGCTCCGATCGCGGCCCGCGCGCGAGGGGGGCCCGTCAGGCCCCCACCAGCGGGCCGCGAGGGCCCCGACGCAGCCGCCTCCGAAGCGGCTGCAGACGGCGGTGGCTCCGAGCAGGGCTGCGACCGCCGAGAGCGGCGAAGGAGTCGTCCCGCCGCTCAGATCCGCCGCCAGCCCAGCGCAGACGGCGGGGCACGCCGCAGCTCGAGGGGCAGGGGGGGGGGGGGCAATGCCTCCCGCCGCCCGAATCGGCAGGATCGGACACGGGGTCCCCGCGGAGGGAGCAACTGGAGGGTTTCTCCGAAGGGCTTAGGCGACCCGTCCTCCTCCTCCTCCTCCTGCTCCTCCTCCTCCGCCTCCGCCTCCGCCTCCTCCCTCCTCCCTCCTCCCTCCTCCCTCCTCCCTCCTCCTTCCTCCCTCCTCCCTCCTCCCTCCTCCCTCCTCCCTCCTCCTCCTCCCTCCTCCCCTCCTCCTCTTCCTCCTCCTCCCTCCTCCCTCCTCTCCTCCTCCTCCTCCCCCTCCTCCTCCTCCTCCCTCCTCCCTCCTCCCTCCTCCCTCCTCCCTCCTCCCTCCTCCCTCCTCCCTCCTCCCCCCTCCCCCCCTCCCCTCCCTCCTCCCTCCCTCCTCCTCCCCCTCCTCCTCCTCCCCCTCCTCCCTCCTCCCTCCTCCCTCCTCCCTCCTCCCTCCTCCTCCTCTCCTCCTCCTCCTCCTCCCCCTCCTCCTCCTCCTCTCCTCCTCCTCCTCCTCTCCTCCTCTCCTCCTCCTCCTCCTCTCCTCCTCCTCCTCCCCCCTCCTCCTCCTCCCTCCTCCCTCCTCCTCCTCCCTCCTCCCTCCTCCCTCCTCCCTCCTCCCTCCCTCCTCCCCCTCCCTCCCCCTTCTCCTCCTCCCTCCTCCCTCCTCCCTCTCCCTCCTGCCTCCTGCCTCCTGCCTCCTCCCTCCTCCTCCTCCTCCTCCTCCTCCTCCTCCTCCTCCTCCTCCTCCTCCTCCTCCTGCCTCCTCCTTCTCCCTCCTCTCGCCTGCCTCCTGCCTCCTGCCTCCTCCCTCCTCCCTCCTCCTCCTCCCTTCCCTCCTCTCCCCTTCTCCCTCCTTCTCCCTCCTCCTCCTCCTCCTCCTCCTCCTCCTCCTCCTCCTTATCCTTCTCCTCCATCTCCTCCTCCCCCTCCCCCTCCTCCACCTGCTCCTTGGCAAATCCGTGGCTGCTACAACGATCTTCCCGTAATAAGACAACAACATTTCGGAATACCACTCAGCACACTACATAGTAGACGGGCTGCTTCCAGAAAGAAAAACAATTTCCCAGAGCTCCGTTTTAGCAGCCACGGGTTTGCCAGCTTTCGCCTGGCTTCTGACACGCGAAGGCTCGGGCCGACAAGCTGCAGAAGCCCAGACGGGCGCGAGGGTTTCGTAACCGACACTGTCGCGTAACCCCTTCACAATGATGACGTCCGGAAAATATTCGGCCCCCTCCGCGTAGTTTTTATACACAGGATTCCCAGGAGTTGGGTTTTCGCTTGGGTTGTTTTCAACATGCTGCTCCCGCTGAAGCGCTGGCTTCATGTTCGGGCTTCCGTTTGTTCCGAATCGTGCTCCCGCTGCGACGCTGGCCTCATGTCCGTGCTTCCGCTCGTTCCGAATCGTGCTCCCGCTGTAGCGCTGGCGTCATTATTCCCAGTGCCATGCCATGGCATGGAATGCAATACTGTGGTGTTTCTCTGTGCGATGCCATGCCTTTAGCTGCAAGGCTGGGATATGCAGTGCTTGACTACGCAGTGCCACGCCATGCTATGCCATGCTACGCTTTGATCTTCAACGCCATGTTCTGCCATGTTTTGTTCTATGCCACTGTGCGATGCCATTATTTGCGTTGCAACGCGTCGTGATGCAATTCTTCACTACGCAACGCCACGCCATGCTATGATATTCTACGCTCTGCCGAGCTCTTCTACGCCCTGCGATGCCGTGTTCTACGACGCATCGCGTATCCTCTCGGGATCAATGCCCTGCTCGACATCCGACTGTGCGAATAGAGAGGGGATTGACGACATGGTAAGGGATTGGAGGGAGGAGTAGGACGTGAGATATGACGCGAGTGCACCTAGCTTGCCTCCCCCTGCACCTCCTCCGCCTCCTCCTTCTCCTCCGCCCAACGCCCGCACCATGTCTCGAGCCTCTGTCAGGGTCATCACCTCGTCGTTCTCGTTGTCGTCATGGTCGTCGTCGTGGCCGCCGTCGTCTGGGTTGGCGGCACCGGCCGTAAGGCCTGTTCAATCAATTACACAAAATAGATTGTAGTACATCGCTTGCGCTACATAGCTTGCCCCACATAGCTTGTACATCATCATGAGCTTGCACCACATACATTGCACCATATGGCTTGCAGAAGATGCACTACACCAGGTAGCTTGAATCGCAGAGAATGCCCCACAGAGTTCAGGCATACGGAGTGCAATAACGCAGTGGTCAGGATCCACACTGGGAAACACTTGGATCTGAAAGATCTAGAACGCTGAAAACATGCAGCTCGTCCCATTGTTCACCAAAGCGTGGCTGGGGCGAAGACGGGACTAGAACTACGCGCGTTTCGCGCACGTGTAGGGTCCAGCAATACATGTCGAGGTCGCGATACAGTGGCTGCGTGTCGGCATGTCTGTCTTGCGCGTGCCTCGACTGCTGTTCGGGTGTCCTTGCGTCCGTCTTTCCCTTCGACCTTCTCCCTCGGTTCTCTGTTGACCCTCCGCGTTGCCTCACCCTCGTCCTTCCCGCTACGGCTCCTTCCCTCGTCCACCTTTACGCGTCGCTCCACTATGATGTCCCTCGCTGATGACCATTCTCTCCCGCATGTCCCGCCCTGCTCCCTCCTCCGTCCCACCACCTTTGACGAGGGGGGGGGGGGGGGGGAAAATAGCCAAGAGAAAGAGGAAGACGGGCGTCCCCAGCCGAATCGATACGCCGTATGCTGCAACCCCTCCTCACCTCCAAGATGTCAGCCCATCCATACTTCCTGAGATCATGAAACGACGAACGGGGAGGTTCCTAACGGGATTCCCGACGGCGTTGTGGGTTCGACGAGGGCGGGGGAGGAGGGGGGGACGAGTCAGTGCAGCGCCGGTGTCCTCTAGCGGCTCCTGCGGCAGTCCGAGCTCCTGGGCTCGCGACGCCGAGGCAAGATGTCAGACCAGGGGAGAGCGCCGCTGCCCGACGACGACCACCACCACCACATCACCACGGCGACCACGGCCACAATCATCGCCACGACGACAACGAACGCGACGGCGGCCTCCTGCCTCGCTGTCTCGGCCACGCCCGGAGCGCACGTGCAGCTATACTGTCCGGCCTCTCTTCGCACAGCACCAGAGGAGAAGCAGGCGGCACCACAATCTTCTTGTGGCCGTCCACGAACGAGAGCCTCTTCCTCTTCTTCTTCTTGTCCCCGTTCTCCTTCGCTATCTTCCGCGCGAGAACGCTGACCTCCTGCTGGACTATGCCTCCACAGGTAATGCCAGCCGGGGGGGGGAAAGGAAGGGCGAGGAAGAAGCGGAACAGGGGAGATGCTGAGCAGAAGGATTGAAGGACGAGGAAGGAGTGCAGCGAGGAGGAGGGAGGAACGATGATGGAGAGGAAAAGTGTGTGAAGGGCTCCCTTGGAGATGGTCTCCGACTCGCGTTACGTCTGCCAAAAGATTGCCGCTCTGCACGGTGGCGCGATCCCAACCGAGTGGACGCGCGCGGACCTACGGGAGCTGCTGAGGCCACACTGCCAAGGCGGCTACATCACAAATGGACGACCCCAAACTGTGCTCTGACGCCGCGCGGTGACTTCGGAATCCCCGACGACCTCACCCCTCGGTCCGTCACCGCGCGGTCTTGGGAACTCGGAGGCCCCAGCGGCCTGAGACGTCCTCGGAATGACCCCGATTCCCAAGCGACTCACCACACGGTGTGGTCACCACGCCCTTTGGGGGGCCCGGAGCAAGCTTGGCTGACGCAGCTTTCCGGCGCAAATTCCCTAGCGCTTGCCAGCGCCGGAGGTGCAAATGCATCAGAGGAAAACGCTCCTCCTGCGGACGAATTCGGTTCATGCCGTGACGACCGGGGCACCCAACTCGAACCACATGAAATATATCGGAACGCCGCGATCGTCAACGATCGCGTCGTTCCGATACTGCAGATGGTTCGATATCGACCGCGTCTGAGCAGCCAGCGGCGGCCCGCGGTGTGGTCATCACCACACCGTTTGGCGGCCCCCGAGCATCACCGAGGCCGCCGTCGCGGCTGTGCAGCCGCGGCGGCGGGTGCTGCCGCGCAAGAGGACCACGCCTGGCACCCCGGACGCTGACCGCCCGGCAGGAGCCGCGGCGCGCGCGCCCCGCGCTCCCCGCGCGCGCGGCACCCTGCACGGGGGCGGCAGGCGCCGCTGCACGCGCTCCGGGTGCTCCAGCGGCTGCTGGCGGCCGCTCGATGATCCACAAGACGTGTCTTGGCGCCAACGCCGTGTTTGTCCACCGACGCCCGCCGACACGACGCGCGGCAGCGGTGCCACCACACCGCCACGCGGCCCCCGAACAGTTCGGGGGCCGCCGCCGCGCTCGGGGCTGCCGCGCCGAGGGCCACGCCGGCCCCTGGCCGCCGGGACGCCGCCTGGCCGGCAGGGGCCGCGGCGCGCGCGCCTACAGCGCTCCCCGCGCGGGCACCCTGCACACGGGGCGGCAGCTGCAGCCGCGGAGGCTCCGGGTGCTCTGGCGGCTGCCAGCGGCCGTGGAGCTGGCCGCCCTGCGGGCCAAGGGGGGCCCACGGGGTCAGCGCCAACGGGGGTCAGCCGACCCCCTCTGGCTGACCCGGGGTTGGCAGAGGGTGTGGTTTTGCAACCGGCACCGTGGAGAACATCCTGGGGGGCACACTATGGGCCGCGCGTGGATCTCGATAGAGATCTCCCGCGCCCCGAGGAGGCCCGACGAGGACCGTGTCGTGCCCCCAGGCTCCAGCGGTGCCGATCGCAAGCCACACTCCTGGCGTAACCATACCCTTTCTAGCCGCCGACGCTTGAGGGCCGTTCCCCCTTCCCCCTCCGCTGGCCCGGGCTTAATTTAAGAGCTGGCCCAACTTTACTTAAAAAACTACTCTCAAGGGGCCCACGGACACACAAATAAATACACACAAATAAAAATACTCCCCATATGTTCCCATATGTTCTGGGTTTCTGTCTTCCCGCCCACTTCCAATATTTTCCCATATTTTCTGGGAAATCGAAGATTAATTGTGTCTGTGTGTTTCTTTTCCTCCTGATACTCAGCGGCCAACCTGGCTTCAGCGACGGGGCCCTGGCCGACCCGGGTTGGTGCTCACCCAGGTCGATGCGCTCCCGACCGTAAGCGTAAGACGGAGCCAGGACAGGGACAAACTCGGACAGGGACAACTTGGGGATCTCTGAAATCTGGGGCCCCTCCTCCTCCTCCTTCTCCTCCTCCTCCTCCTCCTCCGCTTCCTCCTCCTCCACCTCCTCATTCTCCTCCTCATCCTGCTGCTCCCAGTCGCCGCGGTCGTCAACGAGGACGACTGCGCCGACGACGACGACGACGACGCCGACATGGATGAGGACGAGGACGAGGACGAGGCCGACGACGACGAGGATGAGGACGAGGACGAGGACATGGATGAGGACGACGGACGACGACGACGACGGCGGCGATGACGACGACGAGGACGAGGACGAGGTGCTGCGTAGGCCCGCTGTAGTCGACGACGACGACGACGACGATGACGATGGTGAGGACGAGGACCAGGACGAGGACCAGGACGACGACGAACGACGACGACGGCGACGACGACACACTGCTGATGCCATACCGGTGGGGGTGCTGCGTAGGCCCGCAGTAGTCGACAACGACGACGCCGACGCCGACGACGCAGACGACGACGACGACGGCGACGGCAGAAAAATCGCTGGGGGGCCAGGAAAGCAGACGATTCAAAAATCAGTTCTGGCGGATGGCTTCTATGAATCTGCCCAACTCATCTATTTGAGGCCCCCAGGTGGGGGGCTTTTTGCCATCGCTTGCTCCCACTAGTAGAGGAACAAGAAACGGCATTTACATTAACTATTGGAGGTCCGCGCGAACTTCTTAGATCTGCACTGGACCACCCTCCCTGTTGGCGCAGGGCGCGCCAGGGAAGGCGCCAGAGGCGCCGACCCAAGAGGGCCCAGCGCCGACCCAAGACACCCGCGCGGAGCTCGGAAAACTCAACACAGAGAATCTGTTCCTCGACTTGAGGCCCTTGCGGTGAAAGGAGCGGGCCCTCTGAGGAAACGGGGTCCTGGACCCCACGGCTTGTCCCCCAAGACAGGCTCTTCGTCCTGAGCCGGTCTCTGGCACTGGAAAACTCAAAGAACACATAACTGCTCCTCGACTTGAGGCCCTCTTAGCGCGAAGGAAGCGGGCCCTCTGAGGAAACGGGGTCCTGGACCCCACGGCTCATCCCCCGAGACCGGCTCCTCGTCCTGAGCCGTTTTCTGACACTCCCAGGGCCTGCCGGGGGCTCCGAGGGGGCCCGAGCACGGCGAAAAGCACCACGGGCGGCCCGTGAACCGGGGAGCCGCAGGACTCGGGTTGGGGGGGGCTGGGGCCCTCAGAAAAATGGCAGGGCCTAATGTGAGATTTGGAGCACGTTCCCGCTGCAAGCATCCCACGACAACAGGACCATCAACACCCGGGACGGGCCGGTCAAAATTCGGCGGCAAGTCCAAGTTCTGGCGAACGCGAGTCTTACTTGGGCGTTGGCGGCCATGGCTTTAGTGGGACCTGTACGAGGGGACGCGCTACCCCCCGCCCCACTCCACTAACCAGGACTGCCGTCACCCGAAGAAACGCCAGCTGCGGCAGTCTTGGGAAGCGAATCTGGTACAACTCTGAATCTTTGGGGCGGCGGGCCCGCATCACTAATTCACCGGCTCCCCCTAATCCAGGTCTTGGCGAACCTGGCGACGACGGCGACGACGACGACGATAATACGCCCGCTACCGCCGCGAAGAAACGAACGATCGCCCCGCGCCCTGCCCGCCCTCGACGTCGGGAGCGTCCAAGCGGGGGGCGTCCGAGAGGGGGGGGGTCAAGCTAGGTGCGCTCGCGTCATATCTGACATCCTACCCCTCCCTCCCATCCCTTACCATGGCGTAGATCCCCTCTCTACTCGCACAGTCGGATGTCGAGCAGGGCAATGATCCCGAAAGGGTACGCGATGCATTGTAGAACACGGCATGGCATGGCGTAGAAGAGCACCGCAAAGCGTAGTATCAACCTAGCATTGCATTGCATGCCGTGGCATGGCACGGGAAATGACGCCAGCGCTGCAGCGGGAGCACGAGTCGGAACGAGCGGAAGCGCGGAAATGAGGCCAGCGCTGCAGCGGGAACACGATTCGGAACGAGCGGAAGCACGGAAATGAGGCCAGCGCTGCAGCGGGAGCAGGATTCGGAACGAGTGGGGCCCGAAAATGAGGCCGGCGCCTCAGCGAGAGCAGCATTTTGAGAAAAAATGTAGGCGAAAGCCAAACTCCAGGAAATCCAGTGTGTACAAAAACAGTACGCGGGGGGGGGGGCTGATATTTTCAAACCGTCATCAGGGGAAGAGGGAGAGTAGTATTCATATTGAGTAATTGTGCAGATCATGACCGGCGGCATGTGCGCCCAGGGGAAGGGGGCTGGGCACGCAGTGAGATGGGAAGAGGCGCCATGAAGCCTGGGGAGATATCATGGCCCCCGCCATGACATCCACCCCACTCCCCTGGCCAGCACCCCCCCTATGGTCGCCCCCGACGACGGCGGCGGGCACGCCCCGGCACGGGCGGGCACTTCCGCGCCGCCCCCGGCCAGCGCAGCAGCCGCTGGGCGACCGTGCGGCCCGCCGCGAAGGAGGGCGCTGCCAGGCGCTCCGGGGCGGGAGGGAGCAGGGACGGGCGGAGGAGCGGGACGGCAGCGGGCGGGGGGAATCGGGGGCGACGACGGGGGCGAACAGCCCAGGGGGGAGCAATACAGGTACCCAGGGGCGCCGATGATCCATGCCTTCGGCGAGGCTCCCGAGCGAAGACGTGCAGTGCCCGCCCCGGGGCTACTCGCCGGTGCCGTCGCCGCCGAGGGGAGGGCGTCGACGCTGGCCCAGCAGCCCGACAGGGTCGGCCGGCCCGGCGTCGGCGCTCGGAAGCTGGAGGCTCCCTCCTCCTTCTCCTCCTCCTCCTCCTCCTCCTCCTCCTCCTCTCCTCCTCCTCCTCCTCCTCCTCCTCCTCCTCTCCTCCTCCTCCTCCTCCTCCTCCTCGTCTTCGTCCTCCTCGTCCTCCTCGTCCTCTTCGTCCTCCTCGTCCTCCTCCTCCACCTCCTCCTCCTCCTCCTCCTCCTCCTCCTCCTCCTCCTCCTCCTCTTCCTCGTCGTCTTCGTCGTCCTCGTCGTCCTCGTCGTCCTCGTGGCCCTCCTCCTCGTCTTCCTCATCCTCCTCGTCCTCCTTGTCCTCGTCCTCCTCGTCCTCATCGTCCTCGTGCTCGTCCTCGTCCTCCTCCTCCTCCTTCTCCTCCTCCTCCTTCTCCTACTCCTCCTTCTCCTCCTCCTTCTCCTCCTCCTCCTTGTCGTCATCGTCATCGTCATCGTCATCATCATCATCATCATCATCATCATCATCATCATCATCATCATCATCATCATCATCATCATCATCATCATCTTCATCATCATCATCATCATCAGCATCATCATCATCATCATCGTCATCATCAACATCATCATCATCCTCATCCTCATCATCGTCATCATCATCAACATCATCATCCTCATCCTCATCCTCATCCTCATCCTCATCCTCATCCTCATCATCATCATCATCATCATCATCATCAGCTTCATCATCTTCATCATCTTCATCGTCATCAGCAGCATCAGCAGCATCAGTATCATCAGCATTAGCATCATCATCATCACCATCATCACCATCGCCACAACCACCATCATCATCACACTATCATCACGATCAGCATCATCAGCAGCAGCATCATCATCACCAGCAGCAACATCATCATCATCAGCAGCAGCACCATCATCACTATAATCAGAATCATCATCATCACCATCACCATCACCATCACCACCATCATCATCACCACCATCATCATCATCATCATCATCATCATCATCATCATCATCATCACCATAACCATCACTATCACAATCGTGATGATGATGATGATCATCATCATCACCATCACCATCACCATCACCATCAGCATCAGCATCAGCCTCAGCGTCATCCTCGACCTCATGGTCCTCCTCCCTCCCTCTCCTCCTCCTCCTCCTACTACTACTACTACTCCTTCCTCCTCCTCCTCGTTTTCTCCTCCGCCTCCCGCTGTTTCCCTCTCTTCTTGGAATATCAAGCGGCGCAGCCAAGCAGGCCGAGGTGCCGGCCGTCTGGCGGGTGTGGCGTGGTGGTATTGACGGGACGATTCGACCTCGTGCCTTGCTTTTGCTGCTTGGCCCGCCTCTGCCCTCTCCTTCTGAACTCGAGACAGAGGAGCAGGAGCGAGGGAGAGAGAAGGGATGAAGGGAGACAGAGGAGCAGGAGGCGGGAGGAGCGAGGGGGGCACAATTGAGGAAGCGAGGGGGGGAGAGAAAGAAGAGGGGGGATGGGGAGGACAACGAGGAGGGGAGGATGACGAGGAGGGGAGAGGGTGGAGGAGGGGAGGGAACGCGGAGGGACGAGGAGGAGGCGGGCTGGAGGACGGAAGCGGCAGGAGGGAGGAGGAGGGTGGGCGGAGGAGGGGGCAGGAGAACTGGGCCTGTCCCGCGAGCACCTCGGCAGGGGCCGCGCACCGGTGGGGAGCACAGCGTGGGGAGAGGGCGGCGCCGGGCCCGCACCGCTACCGCGGCCCGAGCACGATCCCTCCGCCGCCGCACGGCCGCGAGGGACCCGGCCCGCTGCTGGCCCCGAGCACGAGCAGCGGCGCGGGCCGCGCGGCGGGCCGGGCCCCGCCGGGGGCGGCGGCGGAGGACACCGCAGCCACCGCCGCCTGCTTGCCCAGCGTCCTCGCGACTTCGGGGAGCGGGCAGGGGCACAAAGACATCAAACCTGTCGGAGGTCCGCGCGGATTGCTCGGGCCGGCGCTGGAGCCTCCCGAGGCGGCGCCCCTGGCGCGCTCCGCTGCTGCCAGGGAGGGGGGTCCAGCGCTGACCCAAGAAATCGGTGTGGACGTCTGAACGCTGACGTCTGTGGCATTGTCTGTCCCCCGCGGACCGCCCTCTTGCTCGTCAGGCCCCTCGCCTCCCACAGGTTGCCGACGACGTGGAAGCCCTCGCGGGTCGTGGCTCCGGCCGCTTCGCCGTACCTGTGGCCCACCAGGTCCGCGCCCGAGCCCAGCGACTGCTGCACCACCACGTCGGCCGCATTGTTCGGGGGTTGCTAGAGGCTAGAGGTGCCCCTGGCCCAAGGTGCCCCCAGCTTTTCGCTCGATGTTGGAGCCCCTGGGGCCCTGTGGGCCTCGTAAGGGGTGCTTGCTGAGGCCGTGGGGGCCTCCTTGGAAATCCTGGGAGCACCCTAGGCCAGGGGCACCTCTAGCAACACCCGAATTGTTGAGGGCGCTGAAGATGGAGATGCCGCCGTCCAGGGCCGCCCCGCCCACGAACTTCGCGTCGGCTACCCACTGCTTCTCAGGGCCCCCGTCCTGGCCTCCCCCGGCCTGCTTCGCCAGCTCTCCCGCGGCCGCTCCCGCGAGCCCCGCCACGGCCTCTATGGCGGCAGCGCTCACCTGCACCACGCCACAGGAGATGTCGCGGGCGGCCCGGACTCCCTGCCGAGCGGCCTCTGGGACCTGCAGGGGCTCGCCCGACGGCTGCATGATGGATGCCGCCTTGCTCTTCTCCGCGGCGAAGCGGATGCCCCTCGCCAGCAGGCTGCCGCCGATCTCGAGAGCACACGCGACTCCCGATGCCACCTCGCGCACGGTGCCCGCCGTCGCGGACGCAGCCTGGCTGGGGGCAGACTCGCTTCTCGCAGCTGCGCCGCCGCTGCCGCCCTCCGCGGCCCACCACACGCTGCAGCCCGCGCCCTCCAGCAGGCGGGCCACGGCCTCGAGGCCCGATGCCGCTGGGAACACGACGCCGAAGGAGTCCGCCCCGTCCTCGGGGTCCGGCAGGGTCAGGCAGCTGGTGCCCTCCGCCGTGGAGCAGACGGCGGGCGTCCCCGGCAGCAGCGGGTAGAAGAAGCCCGCCTGCCGCTCACCGGCGGCGTCTCCGAGGATCGCCAGCACGACTCGAGGAAGAGACAATGGCATACGCATGAAAGTTCGGAGGTCCGCGCGGATCTCCTGGATCTGCGCTGGACCCCCCTCCCCCTGGCGCGCGGAGCGCGCCTGGGGCGGCGCCGCCAGCAGGGGGCCGCAGCGCCGGTCCGAGAAGCCCGCGTGGACCTCCGAACCTTTATGCTGACGCCATTGGTTATTCCCCGAATGCCGGCTGCACGGAACGGTGACCCTGGGCAGGAGTGGCCCTTGGTGCGCGGCTTTCGGGGGCCGCGGGGGCCCCATTCCAAGCGCGCAGGCCAGTGCCGGCGGGACCCCTGTGGGCCCTCACCAAAAGTTTTGGACGTCCGAGTACGGAAAAACTGGGCACACTGCCCAACCACGAGCGTTGTCCAGAACCGACAGCGGCCGCTGTTGGGCAGGCGGCTTTTCGCCTTCGGTGAACAGCGTCCGCGGCGGCGCGGACAGCGAGCCCTGCTCAAAATGAACAGGAAGTGCTGTTGTGCATCGGACCTGCAGTCAACCCGCATAGTAGGGATGCGCGATGAGGGTGCAAGGGCCCTGGACACCCATCTCGAAGCTTTTCGAGTGGGGCGCGGCCAACGAAAGCGGTCAAGGATAGACCGAAGAGGCGAGGATGCAAGGGTAGCCTTGGGAAGGTCGCCCATCCTTACCAGTGCGGGTTGACTGTGCATTCTTCCCGTACCCGCTCCGATCGTCCCGCGAGGCCACACCGGCGAAGGATCACTCTCACGCGCAGCCGAGACTGACCCTCCGCGGGGAGTCGGGCCCGTCCCCGGGCTGCGGCAGGAGCCGCAGCACGCGCAGCGGGCCCTCCGCGAACTGCGCCACCAGCGGCGCGCCCTGCTCCTCGGCCGCCGCCGCGCGGGGCCGCCCGGGCGCGGGGGCGCCCGCCCCCACCAGGACGGCCCTGCAGCCGGGGACCTCCAACAGCTCCTCGGCAGCGGCGCCTGGAGGAAGGACACACGGCATAGGAAGCCGTTTCTTTATGTTCGGCGATGACGGGCGTCATGGGGGGGGGGGGCGGGGGGGGTATGACGTGACGCCCCCCCCCCCGCCGTGTGGCTCCGGCATCACAGCCGCGCCCGCGCGCACGATGCGACGAGCGACGAACGACGAGCGACGACGACGACGCGAGCAGCATGTAAGTGGCGATCTGCCCATTGCGCTTGTGTACACCAAAACGCTCGCGTGCACCACGCCGCGCGTGTGCACCACAGCGCCTGCGTACACCGCAACAGCCGTGTGCAATGCACCGCCCGCGTATACCACAATACTTGGGAGCACTACAGCGCCGGTGTACATACACCGCAGCAGTCATGTGCAACACAACGCCTGTGTACACGACAGTGCTTGCGTGCACCGCAGCGCCTGTGCACGCCACAGCGCCTGTCTACACCACAGCATCCGCGTGCAACGCAGCGCTGGTGTACACCACAATGCCTGCGTGCATAGGACACGTAAAAGGAGCATGTACGTCAGGATCAGATGCGGACAACTAAACGCCACGCCAGGAAAGTTCTGATAATCGAATGCGACGTTTTGCTTCCTTCCTCCTCCTCCACCTCCTCCTCCTCCTCCTCCTCCTCCTCCTCCTCCTCCTCCCCCTCCTCCTTCTTACCCCCTGTCGTGCGGCTTGGCGGCACAAAGCACGTGCGCATCTTAGCGTGCACCGCAGAATGGTCGATTGAATCGGGCCACTTGGTTCTCGGACGGCCAATTTAGCTGGAGCCTCCTGGACGCAAATGGGAGTTAGGGTGATGCGGGCGGACTCGGGGGGACTCGTAGATTCCAGCGGCGCTCATTTGTCCATGAGGATTTGTTTTCCATTGCTTTCTCTGGAATCCACACGCGCTCCATTTTGTCACAAGGACTCCTTTTGAAATTCTATACACAACAATGGTGCTGTGTTGCACACGGCTGATGTGGCGCACACATGCGCCGTGGCGCACACAGGCACTGCAATGCACGCAGGCATTGTGGTGTACACGGGTGTTGTGTTGCGCACGGCTGATATGGTGTACGGAGGCGCTGTGGTGTACACAGGAGCTGCTGTGCCCGCAAGCGCGGTGGCACAAACTGACGGTGTGTTGCACGCGGCTGCTGTGGTGTACATCGGCGGTGTGGTGTACACAGGCGCTGTGGTGCACGCGGGCACTGTGATGTACAGGCGTTGTGGTACATATCGCCACCTACATGTTCGTGCTACCCGTGCTCCGTCATTCCTAACCATTCCCAAACGCCGCCGGCGCGAAACGTGACGTCATCGACCCCCTCCCCCCTCAGATGATTGCAGTCATCGGCCCGGACCTAAAAACAGGCTCCAGCCGCGCCCGCGCGCACGACGACGATGAGCGACGAGCGACGAACCACGAGCGACGACGACGAACGACGACGACGACGACGACGCCTGCGGACCAGACACCTATGCGGATTCCTACGCGAACACCTGCGCGAATCCCAATGCGCACGGCGGCAGTGCCCGGAGCGCACTGGGGGGGGGGGAGCGTCACGTCATAGGGGGGGGGGGAGGGCGCCAGACTGGATGGGTATGGCGGCCTTTCGGCCCTCCTCCGTTCTCGGTGTTTCTCCCTTCCTCTTTTCTTCTTTTTCCTCCTCCTCCTCCTCCTCCTCCTCCTTCTCTTACACCTCCTCAGTATCCTCAACACCCTCCTGTTTGCACAGGCTCTCAATAGGAAGCCGTTTGTATTGCGTTTCGATAAGCTTTCAATCGGAATCCTTTTTGCAGAGGCTCTCACTAGGAATCCTTATGTAGAGGCTTTCAATAGGAATCGTTGCGAAGAGGCTCTCAATAGGAATCCTCTTGTAGAGGATCTCAATGAGAATCCTCTTGTGGAGGCTTTCAACAGGAATCATTTTGCACCGGCTCTCAATAGTAATGCAGTAGTCTTGCATTTCAGTCGGGATCATTTTTGTATTGGCTCTCACTAGGAATTCTTTTTTTGTTGAGGCTCTCAATAGGAAACCTTTTGTAGAGGCTCTCAATAGGAATCGTTTTGTAGAGGCTCTCACTAGGAATCATTTTGTAGAGGCTCTCACTAGGATTCCTTTCGTGGAGGCTCTCAGTAGGAATCCTTATGTAGAGGCTCTCAATGAGATTTTGTTCGTTGAGGCTGTCAACATGAATGGTTTTGCACAGGCTTTCAATAGGAAGCCATTTGTATTGCGTTTCAGTAATAATCCTTTTGTAAGGGCTTTCAATAGGAATCCTTTTTGTAAGAGGCTCTCATTCGGAATCCTTGTGTAGAGGCTTTCAACAGGAATCATGTTGTAGAGACGCTCAATGGGAATCTTGTCGTGGAGGGTCTGAACAGGAATACTTTTGCACAGGCTTTCAACAGGAAACAATGTGTATTGACTTCCAGTAGTATTCATTTTGTACTGGCTTTCAATAAGAATCCTTTTTTTGTAGAGGCTCCCAATGGGAATCTTTTTGTAAAGGCTTTCAAAAGGAATCCTTTTCGTAGAGGCTCTGAATAGGAATCCTTTGTGTAGAGGCTCTCAATGGGATTTTTGTGTGGAGGCTCTCAAAAGGAATCCTCTGCACAGGCTCTCAATAGGAATACATTTGTATTGGGTTTCAATGGGGATCCTTCTGTAAAGGCTTTCAATCGGATCCTTTCGTCGAGGCTCTCAACAGGAAGCCTTTCGCACAGGCTCCCAAGAGAAATCCATTTGTGTTGGGTTTCAATGAAGCATCCTCTTGTAGAGGCTTTCAACAGGAATTCTTTTTAAAGAGGCTCTCGATAGGAATCAGGTGGTAGAGGCTCTCAATAGGAAGCCATGTGCACTGCGTTACAATAATAATCATTTTGCAATGGCTTTCAATAGGAACCCTTTTTGTAGAGGCTCTCAATCGGAATCCTTGTGTAAAGGCGTTCAATAAGAGTCTTGGTACAAAGGCTTTCGATAGGAATCCTCTTCGTAGAGGCTCTGAATAGGAATCATGTTGTCGAGGCTCTCAGCAGAAATCCGTTTGCACAGGCTCTCAAAAGGAATACAGATGTATTGGGTGTCAATAGGAGTCGTTTTGTAGTGACTTTGACTCGGCATTTTTTTTTTGTTGAGGCTCTCAATAAGAATCATGCTGTAGAGGCTTTCAATAGGAATCGTTGTGTAGAGGCTCTCAATAGGAATCATTTCTAGAGGCTCTTAATAGGAATCCTTTTGCAGAGGCTCTCACTAGGAATCCTTTTGTAGAGGCTCTCGCTAGGAATCCGTTTGTGGGGGCTCTCACTAGGAATCCTTTTGTAGAGGCTCTCAATCGCAATCCTTGTTGTAGAGGCTCTCAATAGGAATCATGATGTAGAGGCTTTCAATAGGAATAGTTTTGTAGAGGCTCTCAATGGGAATCCTTTTCTAGAGGCTCTTAATAGGAATCCTTTTGCAAAGGCTCTCACTAGGAATCCTTTTGTAGAGGCTCTCACTAGGAATCCGTTTGTGGGGGCTCTCACTAGGAATCCTTTTGTAGAGGCTCTCAATCGTAATCCTTTTGTAGGGGCTCTCAATAGGAATCATGCTGTAGAGGCCAGCGCGACATGAAAAAACAAAAACAAACACAAGGACATACAAACAAACCAAAGACGGGAGGAGGGAGGAGGACGGGGAGGAGGGGGAGGAGGGGGAGGAGGGAGAGGAGGGGGAGGAGGAGGGGGAGGGGGGAGGAGGAGGGGGGAGGAGGGCGAGGAGGGGGAGGGGGGGATGCGGAGTGGGGAGGAGGAGTCAGCGAAAACCCTTGGAAAAACAAAAAAAAACAAAACAACCCAAAAAAACAATCCCGAGGAGACGCCCCCGAATCTCGCCTCAGGATTGTGGTTGTTGTTGTTGTTGTTTGTTTTTGTTTGGTTTGTCTAAGGGTTTTGCTTGATTCTGCTCCATAAAGGCGATTCTGATTGGGAGGGGGAGGGGGAGGAGGAGGAGGAGGAGGAGGAGGATGAGGAGGAGGAGGAGGAAAACTGAGAGAGAGAGAGAGGCAGAGAGAGAGAGAGAAAAGAGAGAGAGAGAGAGAGACAGAGACAGAGAGAGGGGGATAACGGAGGAGCGAAACGGAGTCGGAATGAGAGCGGTTCCTTTTCGTTCGAAGGCTTTGAAGGCCGAAAGGCCGCCATACCCATCCAGTCTGGAACTGACTTGGCGCCAGACTGGATGGGTATGGCGGCCTTTCGGCCCTCCTCCGTGCTCGGTGCTTCTCCCTTCCTCTTTTCTTCTTCTTCCTCCTCCTCCTTCTCTTACACCTCTTCAGTATCCTCAACACCCTCCTGTTTGCACAGGCTCTCAATAGGAAGCCATTTGCATTGCGTTTCGATAATATTATTTTTGTATTAGCTTCCAATAGGAATCCTTTTTGCAGAGGCTCTCACTAGGAATCCTTATGTAGAGGCTTTCAATAGGAATCGTTGTGAAGAGGCTCTCAATAGGAATCCTGTTGTAGAGGCTCTCAATGAGAATCCTCTTGTGGAGGCTCTCAGCAGGAATCATTTTGCACCGGCTCTCAATAGTAATGCAGTAGTCTTGTATTTCAGTTGGGATCATGTTTGTATTGGCTCTCACTAGGAATTCTTTTTTGTAGAGGCTCTCAATAGGAATCCTTTTGTAGAGGCTCTCAATAGGAATCGTTTTGTAGAGGCTCTCACTAGGAATCATTTTGTAGAGGCTCTCACTAGGATTCCTTTCGTGGAGGCTCTCAGTAGGAATCCTTCTGTAGAGGCTCTCAATGAGAATATTTTTCGTTGAGGCTGTCAACATGAATGGTTTTGCACAGGCTTTCAATAGGAAGCCATTTGTATTGCGTTTCAGTAATAATCCTTTTGTATGGGCTTTCGATCGGAATCCTTTTTGTAAGAGGCTCTCATTCGGAATCCTTGTGTAGAGGCTTTCAACAGGAATCATGTTGTAGAGACGCTCAATGGGAATCTTGTCGTGGAGGGTCTGAACAGAAATACTTTTGCACAGGCTTTCAACAGGAAACAATGTGTATTGACTTCCAGTAGTATTCATTTTGTACTGGCTTTCAATAAGAATCCTTTTTTTGTAGAGGCTCCCAATGGGAATCTTTTTGTAAAGGCTTTCAAAAGGAATCCTTTTCGTAGAGGCTCTGAATAGGAATCCTTTGTGTAGAGGCTCTCAATGGGATTTTTGTGTGGAGGCTCTCAACAGGAATCCTTTGCACAGGCTCTCAGTAGGAATACATGTGTATTGGGTTTCAATGGGGATCCTCCTGTAAAGGCTTTCAATCGGATCCTTTCGTCGAGGCTCTCAACAGGAAGCCTTTTGCACAGGCTCCCAAGAGAAATCCATTTGTATTGGGTTTCAATGAAGCATCCTTTTGTAGAGGCTTTCAGCAGGAATTCTTTTTATAGAGGCTCTCAATAGGAATCAAGTTGTAGAGGCTCTCAATAGGAAGCCATGTGCACTGCGTTACAATATTAATCATTGTGTATTGGCTTTCAATAGGAATCCTTGTTGTAGAGGCTCTCAATCGGAATCCTTGTGCAAAGGCTTTCAATAGGAATCTTGGTGTAAAGGCGTTCGATAGGAATCCTTTTCGTAGAGGCTCTGAATAGGAATCAGTTTGTCGAGGCTCTCAGCAGAAATCCTTTAGCACAGGCTTTCAATAGGAATCCAGATGTATTGGGTTTCAATAGGAGTCGTTTTGTCTTGGCTTTGAATCGGCATCCTTTTTGTTGAGGTTCTCAATAGGAATCATGCTGTAGAGGCTTTCAATAGGAATCGTTGTGTAGAGGCTCTCAATAGGAATCCTTTTCTAGAGGCTCTCAATATGAATCCTTTTGCAGAGGCTCTCACTAGGAATCCTTTTGTAGAGGCTCTCAATAGGAATCCTTGTGTGGAGGTTCTCACTAGGAATCCTTTTGTAGAGGCTCTCAATCGTAATCCTTTCGTAGAGGCTCTCAATAGGAATCATGCTGTAGAGGCCAGCGCGACATGAAACAACAAAAACCAACACAAGGGAATACAAACCAAACCAAACACGGGAGGAGGAAGGAGGAGGGGGAGGAGGGGGAGGAGGGGGAGGAGGGAGAGGAGGGGGAGGAGGAGGGTGAGGGGGGGAGGAGGAGGGGGGAGGAGGGCGAAGAGGGGGGGGGGGGCGGAGTGGGGAGGAGGAGTCAGCGAAAACCCTTGGAAAAACCAAAACAAAACAACCAAAAAAACGAATCCTGAGGAGACCTCCCCCCCCCTCGCTCCCGAATCTCGCCTCAGGATTGTTTTTTTTGTTTGGTTGTTTAGGTATGTCTAAGGGTGTTGCTTGATTCTGCTCCGTAAAAGGGATTCTGATTGGGAGGGGGAGGAGGAGGAGGAGGAGGAGGAGGAGGAGGAGGAGGAAGACTGAGAGAGAGAGGGGGAGAGAGAGAGAGAGAGAAGAGAGAGAGAGAGAGAGAGAGAGACAGAGACAGAGAGAGGGGGATAACGGAGGAGCGAAACGGAGTCGGAATGAGAGCGGTTCCTTTTCGTTCGAAGGCTTTGAAGGCCGAAAGGCCGCCATACCCATCCAGTCTGGAGCTGGGGGGAGCGGGGGCCATGGCGCCCGTCATGCCCCAAGCAATACAGAAATGGCCTCTAGACGTGCACACTTTTTTGGCGGTCCGCGCGGAGCGTCCGCAGTGCATGGTTGTGCCGATTTCTGTCCGTCGGGCGCCTGCGGCGGTGGCCATCGCCGTCGGCGTCCGCACAGGAGCCCGTGCTCCTTACCCGCGAGAACGCACGTGACTGGCCCAGCCCACCCCTCCCGTCCCCCTGGTCGCGTCACGATGCGCGCTGGTGTCGTCTGGAAGTAGCCGCTCCCGGGCATTCCCAGAGAGTGCAGGCGCGAATCGCGGCGTGGCTGGTCCCGTCCCCGCCCCCCCCGCCCCCTCCCGCCCCTCGGCGGCCAACCTGGGGGTGGGAACTGAGAAGGGGCGGGCCTTCTCAGCAGGCCAGGGAGTCCCCGGGCCTTCGGAGAAGTTGCCTAAACCTTCCCAGCAGGCGCAGAGCAGGAGGGCCTCTGAGAGGCCCCGCCGCCTTCTGAGAGGGCCCTCTCCTTCCCACTTCCCCAGCTCGCTCGCTGCCGAACCTCCCCTGGTCACGCCCGTTTTCGCCATGGGGGAAAGAAGCGGTCTCCAGGCGCCCGATCTGGTGTGGAGTGGGCGCGTGACCACGCAGCCTGCGTGCGCTGAGGAAATCTGCGGGGGGTGCGAGCCCGAGCCTTCCACCAAGCGGATTCCAGAACTCCACTCGCGGTCGCGGTACACCTCTCTGAAGCTTGAGGCAAAATGGCACTGCACTTGCGCTGGCTTACCCTTGGCTCAGCGGCCCGTGAATGTGCATGCAGGCGCGGGGACGAGTCGGGACATCCCACAAGCTCCCTCAGAATCTGCTCAAAGCATGCCCTGACAATCATACAGGACAGGTTTTTTTCCCAACCATCCTGTGGTGTTGGGTCCTCGTTTTGAAGAGACGGTGCCCCGCGTCTCCTTCCTCCTTCCTCCTCTTCCGCTTCCTCCCCCTCCTATCCTCCTCCTCCTCCTCCTCCTCCTCCTCCTCCTCCTCCTCATCATCATCATCATCATCATCATCATCATCATCATCATCATCATCATCATCATCATCATCATCATCATCATCATCATCATCATCATCATCATCATCATCATCATCATCATCATCATCATCATCATCATCATCATCATCATCATCATCATCATCATCATCATCGTCATTGTCATCGTCGTCATCGTCATCGTCATTACCCACTTCGGCACACCCCTCACACGTTTCGTGGCCCCATAGGGAGCTCCACCGAAGGCCCCATGGCTGCCGTCCGCATGCGTCCCGCACACCCATTTCGGCACACCCTCACACGTTTCGTGGCCCCACAGGGAGCTCCACCGAAGGCCCCAGTGCTGCCGTCCGCATGCGCCCCGCACACCCATTTCGGCACACCCCTCACACGTTTCGTGGCCCCATAGGGAGCTCCACCGAAGGCCCCATGGCTGCCGTCCGCATGCGTCCCGCACACCCATTTCGGCACACCCTTCACACGTTTCGTGGCCCCACAGGGAGCTCCACCGAAGGCCCAAGTGTCGGAGGGCACCAACTATACACCAACACCGATCCTGGCCCAGGATCACCCTGGGCCCAGGATCGGTGTATATGCCTTCTTGCGCAAAGCAGGAGGGCGTATACACCGATCCTGGGCCCAGGGTGATCCTGGCCAGGATCGGTGTTGGTGTATAGTTGGTGCCCTCCGACAGTGCTGCCGCCCGCATGCGTCCCGCACACCCATTTCGGCACACCCCTCACACGTTTCGTGGCCCCAAAGGGAGCTCCACCGAAGGCCCCATGGCTGCCGTCCGCATGCGTCCCGCACACCCATTTCGGCACACCCCTCACACGTTTCGTGGCCCCACAGGGAGCTCCACCGAAGGCCCCAATGCTGCCGTCCGCATGCGTCCCGCACACCCATTTCGGCACACCCCTCACACGTTTCGTGGCCCCACAGGGAGCTCCACCGAAGGCCCCATGGCTGCCGTCCGCATGCGTCCCGCACACCCATTTCGGCACACCCCTCACACGTTTCGTGGCCCCACAGGGAGCTCCACCGAAGGCCCCATGCTGCCGTCCGCATGCGTCCCGCACACCCATTTCGGCACACCCCTCACACGTTTCGTGGCCCCACAGGGAGCTCCACCGAAGGCCCCATGGCTGCCGTCCGCATGCGTCCCGCACACCCATTTCGGCACACCCCTCACACGTTTCGTGGCCCCACAGGGAGCTCCACCGAAGGCCCCAGTGCTGCCGTCCGCATGCGTCCCGCACACCCATTTCGGCACACCCCTCACACGTTTCGTGGCCCCATAGGGAGCTCCACCGAAGGCCCCAGTGCTGCCGTCCGCATGCGTCCCGCACACCCATTTCGGCACACCCCTCACACGTTTCGTGGCCCCATAGGGAGCTCCACCGAAGGCCCCATGGCTGCCGTCCGCATGCGTCCCGCACACCCATTTCGGCACACCCCTCACACGTTTCGTGGCCCCACAGGGAGCTCCACCGAAGGCCCCAGTGCTGCCGTCCGCATGCGTCCCGCACACCCATTTCGGCACACCCCTCACACGTTTCGTGGCCCCATAGGGAGCTCCACCGAAGGCCCCATGGCTGCCGTCCGCATGCGTCCCGCACACCCATTTCGGCACACCCCTCACACGTTTCGTGGCCCCACAGGGAGCTCCACCGAAGGCCCCAGTGCTGCCGTCCGCATGCGTCCCGCACACCCATTTCGGCACACCCCTCACACGTTTCGTGGCCCCATAGGGAGCTCCACCGAAGGCCCCATGGCTGCCGTCCGCATGCGTCCCGCACACCCATTTCGGCACACCCCTCACACGTTTCGTGGCCCCACAGGGAGCTCCACCGAAGGCCCCAGTGCTGCCGTCCGCATGCGTCCCGCACACCCATTTCGGCACACCCCTCACACGTTTCGTGGCCCCATAGGGAGCTCCACCGAAGGCCCCATGGCTGCCGTCCGCATGCGTCCCGCACACCCATTTCGGCACACCCCTCACACGTTTCGTGGGCAGGACGGTCGGGGCAGCGACGGCGGCGGCGGCGCTGGGGTTGCCGCCGCCGGCAACGGCGACGCCCGGGCCGCCGTCGGCGGCGACGACGCCGAGCGCGCCCCAAGAGCGCGCTCGCAAGCGGCCGCGGTAGGCAGGCTCTCCCTCTTCCTCCTCCCCTCTCTCCTCCTCCTCCTCCGCCCACTCCTCCTCTGCTTTAGACTAGATCGTGATCTGGTCCAGCAGGCCTCTCCCTCGTCACAATGGCCTAGATCGGGATGTGGTCCAATCCCTTAGGGCCGCGCCAGGGCTGGGGAATCCTTTAGGGCCGCGCCGCTTTTGGGGAATTTTCTTCCAAAGTCTTTCCAAACCCGCCCAAATCCCCCCAAACCCGCCCAATCCTGCCGAACCCACCCAAATTCTCCCAAATCCACCAGAATCCTGCCAAATCCACCCACATCTGCCCGGAGTCTACCTAATCCTTCCAAATCCTCCCAAACCCGCCCACTTCTTCCAAATCCGCCCAAATCCTTTCAAATCTTCCCGAACACAACCGAATCTTCCCAAATCCACCCAGATCCTCCCAAACCCGCCCAAATCCTCCCAAACCCACCCAAACCCACCACAATCCTTCCAAATTCACCCGAATCCCCCCCAATCCACCCGAATCCTTCCAAATCTTCCCAAACACACCTAAATCTTTTCAAATCCATTCAAAATGTTCCCAGATCCAACCAAATCCTCCCCAATCCTCCCAAGCCCACGAAATGCGCGCGCGGACGCGACCGGACACGGGAGCGGTACTTCCAATGGGCCGTCTGGGAGGGGGAAATTATGGGTTTTTTTTTGTTTTTTCTGGTTCCGATTTGTTTCTGTTTCCGACCCGTCCTCCGCGAAATGCGCGCGTGGACGTGCGACGGGACACGGGAGCGGTACTTGCAATGGGCCGTCTGGGGGAGGGAAATTATGGGTTTTTTTTCTGAATTTGCCGGTTTCGATTTTTTTCATGTTTCCGCCCCGTCCTCCGCGAGATGCGCGCGCGGACGCGCGACGGGACACGGGAGCGGTACTTGCAATGGGCCATCTGGGAGGGGGAAATTATGTGTTTGTTTCTGTTTTATCTGGTGTCGACTTTTTTTCTGTTTCCGACCCGTCCTCCGCGAAATGCGCGCGCGGACGCCTATAGGGAAGTTGTTCAAAGCGAATCGTTGTCGACGTCGGCGTTTGCTACGCCCCGGGCGTCTGTGTTTGGAAGGGCGTCACTATCGCGAATTTTCAAAAACGGGCTCGCGTTCAAAGAGAATGGTCGTCGCCATCGGCGTTTGCTGCGTCCGGGCGTCTGTGCCCTGAAGGACGTCACTATCGCGAATTTCCAATCTTGTTCAACGCGATTCGTCGTCGCCATCTGCGTCTTTGCTACGCCCAGGCGCCTGTGTCCTGAAGGGCGCTTAAATTCTTAGCGACCGTCCAGCGCAAAACCAGGCGGTGCGGAAAACAACGCGCTTTCAATTTGATGCGAACGTCTTATTGATTCGCTCGGATCTCACCGCGAGAACGCGACTGCGAGACCCCCGTCGTTTTGATACCAAAACGACGGGGGTCTCAAGTTTTTTTTGGGTGTCCTATGGCGACGTGAAAAAATATCGCGCGTGCGACTTGCGAATTTATTCTTTTCCATAGAACGTCGTCGATAATCTCGCGCCGACGTGCTGCGCGCAAAAAACTAAGGCTCCCAAGCTACACCCAAGCATGCAAGAGTCTCCTTTGGAGCGACCGGCGCGCGTCGCAGACATTCCAGTGCACTGTGTCCGGCGCTCAGTGTCGGCCGCGCGTCTTTCCAATTGTTCAGTGCCGCGGACGATCCGCGCGCGTCGCTGAGACTCCTTCGGGGCGACCAGCGCGCGTCGCGGGGACTCCTGCGCGCCCCGCTCAGAGCTCCCGATGCATCCGGTCGTCGTCGACGGGCCCAGCGCGCTCAAATGTCGCCCGCTGTAGTCTATTTCAGACGTTGGACATCTGGGTTTGCCTCGCGGAATCCTGGCGACTACGATTCCATATCCGTAGACCTGATGGCCCGAGCAGCAGGCGCCGCCGCGCTCCGTGGCACGCGCCCGACGCGCCCA